AGCCTGAAGCCCCACCTGTGGACCCTGTGGAAACTAGCTGGAGAGAAGGAAGGCTCGAAGAACGTCTGGAATGTGTGCGGCTGCACTGTTTCCAATTCCCTCTTCAGGAACAAGGCAGTCTCCCCCCCCCCCCCCAAGGATTTATTTTTGTTGGAAAGTCAGATTTGCACAGAGGAGAGACAGAAAGATCTTCCAGCTTCTGGTTCACTCCCCAAGTGGCCACAAAGACCTAGAACTGAGCTTATCCAAAAGCCAGGAGCTTCTTCCTGGTCTCCCACGCCGGTGCAGGGTCCCTAGGCTTTGGAGCATCCTTCACTGCTTTCCCAGGACACAAGTTAGGGAGTTGGAAGGGAAGGGAAGTGGAGCGGCTAAGATACGAACCGGTGCTCGTGTGGGATCCCAGTGCATTCAAGGCAAGGACTTTAGTCACTAGGCTACCGTGCTGGGCTGACACCTCCATGCTTCTTAACATGGCGTTTGCACAGCAGAAGGTTCCCACCCTGTGGCTTGTTTTCCGGTCTGCTAAAATACTGTTCAACTCAGGTGGTCAAGAATGACGTGTGGTCACCTGTCGCCGTTGCCCCGGGAACCCCACCTACCTGCCTGACACGCAACGCATTATCCAGCAACTTTGTACCCCTTAGCACGTCTCTCCCTGGAGCAACTGGCAGAGGCCGTCTTTCAGCTGGCCAGCGGTCACCCTCTCCCCCCAAGATCTTTCTTTCTTTCTGGCTGGCCAGCTTGGGCTGGAATCTTGGCTCAAGAGGTGCCCCAGCAGCCAGTGCGCCGTTTGCTCCAGTTTACTGGCTGTCCAGGCTCGACTCCAAGTGGCCATCAATTGCACATTGATGTCGTCTTGGGCATAACCAGCAGGGCCGTGGCTTCCTCTTGGTTTCCTTGCTTTGGGTAAAAGAATAAGCCAAGTTTTACAGAAGCCAAACTTATCTTTTTTTTTTTTTTTTTCCCCACTGTGGCTTTGCACAATTTCAAAGTCCCCTGGGTGATTCTGTTCTCAGCAAAAGAACTAGAAGATAATTCCGAGATCTAAAAGCAGAGAATGGTTGGTGCTCAGTTGGATGAAAGAATGACCAAATTCCACAAGTTAACTCCTAGAGCTGCTTGCTCTACTGCCAAGGTCTAAAAATAAGTTGTCAAGGGGGCATTGCTAAATCAACGGAAAGAATGTGGCGTTTGCAAAATAGTTTCTAATCAAGAAGAGGCATCAGAAGGGAATCTGGGCAGAAGATTCCTGATAAAAGCTAAATGTTCCTTTCTGCTTTGTTGTAAGGTATATTATTAAAGACATCCATTTGGGGGCCCAGCGTGGTAGCCCAGTGGCTAAAGTCCTCACCTTGCACATGCCGGGACCCCATCTGGGCACCAGTTCTAATCCCGGTGGCCCCACTTCCCATCCAGCTCCCTGCTTGTGGCCTGGGAAAGAAGTCCAAGACGGCCCAAAGCCTTGGGACACTGTACCCGCGTGGGAGACCCGGAAGAGGCTCCTGGCTCCTGGCTTCGGATTAGGTTAGCTCAGTCATTTTGGCCACTTGAGGAGCGAATCTACAGACAGAAAGTCTTCCTCTCTATCTCTCCTCCTCTCTGTATATCTGACTTTGCAATAAAAATTTTAAAAATCTTTTTTTTTTAAAGACATCAATTTTTGCCTGCATTTAGGAACAGATAAGATTATACTGAATGTTTAGTGTTTTGCGTATACACTCAGGCTGTAGTTACCAATGAAGTTTTGAAGAAACTTTGTCGTAATAAGTGATTGCTGCTTAGGTCATAAGCTAGCCTCTCAAAACTCCTTAGCATCAGTCTTAGATTTTCTTTGGCTAATAGCAGGCACTCGTATATCTTGCACACAGCACACAAACATTTCTCAGTTTTTAGTAACTGCCCTTAGAGGGTGAGACTTTGGGCATGACTAACCAGCATGCTAATCTCTGGAGAGAGAGCATGGGCGGTCTATTCATTTCTTTCCTTTTTTTTTTTTTTAAAGATTTATTTTATTTTTATTGGAAAGGCGGATATACAGAGAGGAAAGACAGAGAGGAAGATATTCTGTCCGATGATTCACTCCCCAGGCGGCCTCAACGGCTGGAGCTGAGCCAATCTGAAGCCAGGAGCCTCTTCTAGGTCTCCCACGTGGGCTGCAGGGTCCCAAAGCTTTGGGCCGTCCTCAGCTGCTTTCCCGGGCCACAGGCAGGGAGCTGGATGGGAAGTGGAGCTGCCGGGATTAGAACCAGCACCCGTATGGGATCCCAGGGCGGGCAGGGCGAGGACCTTAACCACTGTGCCATCGCACCGGGCCCTCTATTCATTTCTTTAAAAGTATATGGACTTGGGCCCGGCGCGGTGGCGCAAGTGGTTAAAGGTCCTCGCCTTGCACGCCCGGGATCCCATATGGGCGCCGGTTCTAATCCCGGCAGCCCCGCTTCCCTTCCAGCTCCCTGCCTGTGGCCCGGGAAAGCAGTCCAGGACAGCCCAAAGCTTTGGGACCCTGCACCCACGTGGGAGACCTGGAAGAGGCTCCTGGCTTCGGATCGGCATAGTATCGGCCCGTTGCGCTCACTTGGGGAGTGAATCATCGGACGGAAGATCTTCCTCTCTGTCTCTCCTCTCTGTATATCCGCCTTTCCAATGAAAAAAATAATAAAAATAAATCTTTAAAAAAAAAAAGTATATGGACTTGAAAAAAAAAATCCATCGCTTTTCATTCCTGCTGATAAGACACATTGCTGAATCCTGGGGAAGAGCAAGTTTGCAGAAAGTGTTGGGCAAAGCAGTGTCATCGTTTTAGGGGTTCGTTTCCTGATAGGCGAGGAGGGACGCTGACTTCATTTCTCTTCAACTTTCCTTCCAGCCGTGTGCGGTGTGGGTTGCGTGCGTGACGCAGGATAGAGCACTGCTCATGCGGGGCTGAGGTTGCGACAGGCAAGCCAGCCGCCTTCTCCAGGGCGATGCCCAACCTTCTGGATTATTCTGATGCGCTTGTGGTGTAGCTGCTGGGTGAGAGTGTGAGCCAGCGGTGTGCCAACAGGAAGCCGATTATCCAGTCTGGCGGGGCTGCGACTGCAATTCATTTACACAGCCGCTTTCACCTAGCTGCTTCACGGCCTTCTTGGAAACTCTGGCTCATGATTTCCCCAAACACAACACTAAAGAAATGTCGATCAGTGTGTCTTCTCAATTAAATCAGGGGTGGAAAAACTGAAGCAATAGAGAATTCTTGCCAAAGTGTGTTGTGTTGTGGGAGGGCAGGTTTGTGGCTCACAGCTTGCAAACTGGCAGAAAAGGAAGTAGCTAAAGCATTCATTTGGGGAGATTTGTGTAATTAGAAGCCTTCATGCTGTGCGTGGGATGTCACGTAACCATTCAGATCATGTTTATTAGGGATATTTAGTCACTTTTGGAAAAGAGTAAAACTGAAGTGATGGGAAGAAGGCAGCATTTTTGCATCTGCAGTACAGAAAAAGATTTCAGGTTTGGAAGCAAAAGACTCAACCGAAATATTCTACAATCAAAGGGCAGAAGGATATTGAGTGAGTGGTATTTTCAAGCATTGGAAATTGGGGAAACGGGCACGTATTACACTCATAAGTAGAAGTTTAAGCACGTGGGAGAGTGGAGTGAGCCGATGAAACAGGGCCCTGAGACCTGAGGAAGTACCACGTGAGCTGAAACCAGCAGGATGAGAAAGAACTTGTCATTTAGAGAACGCCAGGAAGCCCTGGGGGACAGAAGGCTCAAACACCCTTGGTGCAGCAGTAATTCTGGAATTTTCCAGTATGTGAAAAAGAGAGAAGAAACGAGAGGTCAGAACAGAAGTTCTGTACTAGGTCTTGTTTGTCCAGTGCACAGGCTTGCCAGTCCCTAATGTCTTGGGCTTTGGTCTTCCTGTCTTTAAAATCTGGGGTTCAGGGCCAGTAGTACATACAGCTGCCAGCTGGCCGTGCCAGCATCCCATATGAGTACTGTTTTGAGTCCCGGCTGTTCCCCTTCCATTCCAACTCCTGGCTGATGTGCCTGGAAAAGCCACAAAAGATGGACCAGGTGCTCGGGTCCATGCATGCGTGTGGAGGACCCAAGGCAAGCTCCTGGTTCCCGGCTTTGGCCTGGTTCCGCCTCCAATATCGTGACCATTCGGGAGGCAAACCAGCAGACTTCTCTGTGTTTCAACACAGCCTTTCAAATAACAAAGAAGTCTTTGAAAAAAAGAAGTTGGGATTTATGACAGCTGGAGGTGCTCTTACTGTCAGACCAGGGGAGCCTTGGCCATTGTCACCTGCGGTAGAGAGAACCCGTTGTCTCAGCGACATTTTGCAAGCTGTTTGATGTGTTTCTCAAGCTATGATGACTATTTTTATTTTCTAAAAAAATACGCTATGTCAACTTGAAAAAGCTAATAAAAATGAAATGGACAGGACATCATTTCTCCCGCATGGAACTTACATTTCAGTGGAATTCACCAGTACTAATGCAAATAGAAAGAAAATATATTCAAATTATACTTAGCCTAGAATTTGTTCTGTAGTTGTTGAATGCATGGTTGTAGTGTTCACATTGTTGCTCTGTAGCAAGCGGGCTAGATAAGAAAACCAAAGCAAAAAAAGCACGCCAATACAGAATTGAAACCATCATGTAAAACCAGAAAATAATACAAGAAAGCCAAGAAAAAATTAGACTGCGAATTTAATTTCAAATGAACTGAACCGTTTTTTTTTTGTTCTCTTATTTGTCTCCAATATGCAGTTAGCTCTTTACAGACCTGGAGATTCAATCTCTGTAACCACAGCAGGTACATCTTGATAGGCGGCGAAACCGACAGCCACGTTGGCTGTTATCAGAGGAGAGCAGAGAGACAGGAGGAACCCACAGGAGCCTCTCATTCCTCTTGGAGTAGTTCACTTCTGAAGGAGTGCAGGCCATTCACTCCAGAACTTTCTTCCAATAAACGCTAGGCCTTGCTCAAAGATCTTTGATCTCTTATTTTGCAGAAATGTGCTCTATGTCTACCCCCAGAGACTGAACTTTGCCAACAAACTGGCTTCTGCCAGGAACATCACGATCAAGATCCAGTTCATGAGTGGAGAGGATGTTAGCAGTGCGATGCCGGTAAGCACCTGCCACAGCCGGGATGGGATGCACCTGCTTTGTCCCGGAACCCGGCAAGTCCAGAATAGCTCTGTTCCTGGCCACAAACTCACCATGCGCAAAGCCCCGATACACGGGTTCTTAAAGTCTGCTTCCTAACCTGGTCCCTAGTGGTCTGTGAGATCCACTGGTAATGTGGATCCTTTTAGAGGACGCAAAAACGCTCTGCAGCTTTTCCACGCTGCGTAGAGGACCACACAACGATGTGTGGTTCTCTGTAAAGTAGGCAGATGGGCTCAACGTGTCCACTGTGTTTGCTGAATTTCCACGCGTGCGTGGCACAACACGCTCACCTGCATTTCATGTCACGTCTGTCGACAAATATGAAGTCGTGGGTAGCACACACCACCTCGGTAAATTTTTTAGCACTGGATTTTTGTCCTGAGACAAAATACAAATGCAGTGTTCTCTAAGACAGCCAAAATGTTCTGGTTTGGATTTTTCACTGCCTGCTGCGAAGATGAATAGGTGGCTAGCTGTTGCTGTTCTAAGTCAGATGGTTCCGTTCGTGTATGTTTCTACTGAAATCATTTTTGCCCCAGTGTTTCTAGTCTCTAAGTAGATACTTTTTAACTTCCTCCTGATGGCCTACCTGTCTTCCTGATGCAAGGTGTTTTTTCTTAAGACAGCGGTAGGAAGGGTCCTCTGTGCTTGGAACAAAGGAACAGAGTCTAGAGGAGGCTGCCCAGTGGTGGTTGTGCTGGTCCTGTGTGAAGCTATGGGGTAGGTGGAGGCCACATTCCAGCCTGGGTTCCCTTAACCAGGTCCTGAAGCCTGGCTCAGGTTTGTCTGCATCTAGAGGGCTTTTGGTTCTTTGCCCCAGAATCCATATGCCAAATCATGCGCCTTCTGGGCCACATCAGACCCAAGAAGGTGTCATCTTTAACCAGCACACACATGTGAATGGGAGTGATGGTGGTCGGAATCACCCACGCTCTATGGAGAGGGGCGCGTCGCATCAGGAATGGGTCACTGGGGGGGGGGGCGGGTAAAATCATGTGACTTTGCAGCTGTAATTGGTGAGGTTTGGCTTTCTGATCCTGCTCCCCTGTAGCCCTTGGTCCTTGAAACAGCTCCATGGAACGCCAGTCGACTTTCACAGCCAGTTCCTCTGCCTGGGTGTGACTGGGCCGGTTGAAAAACCCAGAACTTTTCGTTTGTATAAATACCCCTGCAAGACCAGAGCACTCCAGTCGCCGAGGACAGCTTAATCTCCCCCCAAAGTCACTGGTAACGTATTCCTTCCTGTATTGCTCAACAGGTCATCTTCGGAAAATCCACGGGCCCTGAATTTCTGCAGGAAGTGTACACGGCCATCACATACCATAACAAGTGAGTGTACTTCCGAGTTCTAAGTTAATGCAGGATGTGTTTTCCTTATCCCCTGGTTTCTCTGAATCCCTCGGGGAAGTTAGATCTTGTCAGCCAGGAACCAAGAGTGAAAGGCAATGTCGTGTCAGTACTGTGATTCTGCACTGGGAATAGACCGAACTTTCCTTGTCTTGAACTAGGCTCGGGGGAACTCCGTACCATCAAGAACCTAACATGCATGTGACTCATGTTGGAGGGTGGGAAAGCCCTCCACTCTGGTAGGATACTGGGAGGCTGCAGGGTGTTTAAAACCAGAAATCAATTTTCTAACTTACTTTGCGATTGAATCACCAAATATCGTGTGTGCTATGAACTCACATCCCACAGGTACGAGAGGCGCATCTGTGCAGTGCCTGGCAGGATGGAGTTTGATCCTGGCCTGAAAAATGAGGCCGGTTTACGTCCTTCGCTTAATCGCTTTCCACAATGCGGATGAGGAATCAAGGTGGAGAAGGACTTGGCAGAGGACCTGGGACTTTGTAATCCAACAGAGCCAGGCTCTTCCTCCTTGCTGTGTTGCTACAGGCCCTGCAGAGGCACGGCCATGTGCCAGGCCCTGTCGCAGGGCTAGACATGAAAAAGAAGGCCGTAGGCTTCTATATCTCCTCCCCTTTGCTGATGAAACTAGCGGGGTTTTTTTTTCATTGTGCACGTAGGATGTTTTTCCCTGATAGGCTCTTTAGCCTGTCAGCTTTTCTGTGTAAGCAAAGTGCATCCACCTGCTTAAGTGAGGTCTCAAGAACTTCCAGCTCCGGAGCACAATCGTGTCACAGGAAAAGCGCAGAGCCAGGCAGGCAAAGTCTCAGGGACAGAGGAGCTGGGCGTCACAGTTTCAAGTCGGCGAGGTCATTTTGCTAAAAGTTGTTTGTGCCTAACGTGCTTTGGAAATAGGTCTCCCGACTTCTATGAAGAAGTGAAAATTAAGCTCCCTGCGAAGCTGACTGTGAATCATCACCTCCTGTTCACCTTCTATCACATCAGCTGCCAGCAGAAGCAAGGAGCCTCCGTGGAAAGCCTCCTGGGGTACTCCGTGAGTGCCCTTCTGCTTGCTCGTTTGCCCTGCGGTTGTTGGTAGAGACAGGTTCAAGGCAGAGATGAGCAGCCAAATGCCACTCGCTTGCCTCTGTCCAATCAGAAGGAGCTTTGCTAACCCAGGTGATAGCTAGGAGCAGAGATGACTCGGCAAAGTGGTTCACTTCAGCAGTGGGAAGTTGGAGGGTCGTACGTGCTAAGAAGAAAACCCAGAACGTCCATGACTACCGATTGAATATATGTGTTTCGCTTGCAAAACTAGCTGTTTCTTCTTCAAGGAGGAAGTTATTTCATTGAAAAAATGTAAGGGAGTGGGCATTGGGGACAGCAGCCAAGTCTCACAGCTCTGACAGCCATGCTTTACGTTGGAGTACCTGCTCCAAGTCTTGGCTTCCCCACTTCCAATCCAGATTCCTTCTCACACCCTGGGAAGCAACATGGGGCAGGTTGAGTATTTGAGTCCACCCACATGAGAGTCCCAGATTGAAATCTTTTTTATTTTAAGATTTATTTATTTATTAGAAAGTCAGATATACAGAGAGCAGGAGAGACAGAGAAGAAGATCTTCCATCTGATGATTCACTCCCCAGATTACCACAATGGGCCGATGCTATGCCGATCCAAAGCCAGGATCCAGGAACTTCTTCTGGGTATCCCACGCGGGTACAGGATCCCAAGGCTTTGGGCCATCCTCCACTGCTTTCCCAGGCCACAGGCAGGGAGCTGGATTGGAAGTGGAGCTGCCGGGATTAGAACCGGCGCCATATGGGATGCCGGCACGTTCCAGGTGAGGACTTTAGCCACTAGGCCACGCTGCCAGGCCCCCAGATTGAAATCTAATCTTCCGGCTTCAGCCTAGCACGGCCTGGTTATCATGGACATTTGGGGAGTGGACTAGCAATGAAATGATCTTTCTGTCCATCTGCTTTTCAAATAAAAACTGACAGATGAATAAATGGAAAAAATCATCTGAAAACTAGCTGGTCTGTGCAGACACACACGAACACGGATTCGAAAGAAACTTGCAACTGCTTTAACTCTAAATCCATTGACGCATGGCTATTACTATCTGAGAAGCTTTCAGGATATTTGAGATGGAAAGATCTAGACTGAAATTACTACCGAAAAGGGCCCCAGTCAATATCTAATCATTGCCTCATTGCGTTGGTTGCTGTGAACTGGATGAACTGCCAGGATGATAAACACCATTTTATTCTTTCCGTCATCTGTCGCAGTGGCTGCCAATCCTCTTAAATGAACGTCTTCAAACTGGATCCTTCTGCCTCCCAGTTGCCTTGGAGAAGCTGCCACCCAACTACTCCATGCACTCGGCGGAGGTAATCAGTGCACGCAGCAACTGCTTTGTGTCCAGCCATGACCGTGACCTTGGACTCCCTTTCCCAAACCCGCTCCCAATCGCTTACCTGTACCGGGAGATACTCATGGTGTTGGCCGGGGTAGCCATCTTCTCAGGCCATGTGTTCTGATGGGATGAGAGGAATAATTGCCTGGAGACCTCACTCATTTATGTGTCACCAAATCAGAATGTTAAGTACACGTGGCTGGGGGAGGGGAGCAGCATTGTAGCACAGTTGGTCAAGCTGCCATCTGTGGTGCCCAGAAAAGCAGCACAGAATGGTGCTCACCTGGCCCAGCCCTGATATTCACAGTCAGCCAGCAGACAAAGAAAAAAAAAAAAACCCTCTGTCTTTCAAATAAAATGAAAGTACATCGATGTAAAAGTCCAAAGAAAACACTTAGTTTTTTTAAAAATGTAACTCCTTATTAAGCCAGCACAATGCCATTTTCATACCCGGACAATTAACTGTAATTCCTAAATATTCACTCAATGATCACAATTTCCAATGATCCCATTCGCATCTTTTTGTTTGAATCAGAATCCAGATAACACATCTCTCGAGACTCAATCGACAATTCCTCCTTCATCCCTTTTGCTTTTCTGTTCTCCTCAGACCCACCTAAGGGTCAATCTGAGCGCCTGCACAGACAGCCCCTGCCGCCTTGTTATGGCTTGGGCACGCAGCCCGCACCGAAGCCCTCCAAACCATCCTTTCATAGTCTCATTTCCCAGAACCCTCAGCCCTCCTTGAAGTCATCAAGCAAAAACCTGAGTTTGGGAGACAGAGCGATCTGAATCCAGAAATCTAGGTCTTGCCTCTCCTTTGCTGCGTGAACACAGCGTAGCTCACCCTTTCTGAGTCTGAGCGGAAGCCGAGCCCGGGTCTGTCCGTTAGAGCTCAGCACCACCCCAAGAGTTCAGGCATCAGAGACTTACCATTCACATCCACGTTAGTTCTGTTTTCCTGCAGGCACTAAGTTATCTTTATAGATGCACCCTCAGCCTCTGCCCATGTCCTTTATGCTTGTCCCATCCGAGGCGTGCATAGTCACCACCAATGTGGCCATTCGGAACCTGAACCGTGGCTCGTCTTAGTTATCACATAGGCACTGCAACCCAAAAAGCCTTTGGACAAAAAAGCCTTTGATGCATGGGTTGAATGTTGCTACAGTCTTCTTTAGACTGTGTTGGGTAACGTGCAATGTTTTGCTAAAGTTACCTTCGTGTGTTCCATTTTCCTTTCGTGAAGCTACTAGATGATTTGAGATGACACAGATGGCTCATTCTAGATTTCGGAAGATCAATTCAGGGGCACTCAGGAAGCAGACACCTAGAATCTGTTCTCCTGAGATTGCTCATGCCATCCAGTGGCCTGCAGTGGCGTGTCCTGCTGGAATTCAAGTACACATATAACTTGCTTCCATCCAAAGGAAGGAGACACAGCCCCCAGGCTACACCCTCCTTAGCCAACCTCCAGTGGTGTCTCCAGGGGAATCTAATGCCAAAAGAAATTGAAGGCAAGCGATTGTCTTGAAGGTTCATCAGTGTATCCGTGTGGAAGGCAGTCAATGTAATTAAATCAGAAACCAAACAGGGCTGTTACTGGACAACACTCTGCTAAAAGGGAAAGTGATTTGGGGCACTCGAACACATGAACATTTCATGTCTAGTGAAGATCTTCCAAGCTTTCCTCCTGGCACTCCTAACTGATTGGAAAACGGCACATGATTTCAGCGCTAGATTCATCGACACTAAGTGGGAGCTTAGTGCTGCGTCACTCAGGTCACGCCGCCCCCTTCCAGCGTGAGAACTCGTGTAGGCCCAGAGAGTTTGATGGATTTGTCAAAGTAGGACTCTCCTGTCGAAGCACAACTGACCTGGAACTCAGGACTCCTGACTCCAGGCCAAGAGTTTTATATTTAACAATCCTGCCCCTACAAGCGGGATGCTTTGACTTGCTTGTTTGTCGTGAGAAAAGAATTTGATTACAATCCTTTTTTTTTTTTTTTTCTAACACAGAAAGTGCCTTTACAGAATCCGCCCATCAAGTGGGCCGAAGGCCATAAGGGAGTGTTTAATATTGAAGTGCAAGCGGTTTCTTCTGTTCACACACAGGTGAGAAGTGTCAAGGTCACCTTCATGTCAGGCCCCCAAGACCAGGAATAAACCTGGAACGCCAAAAGGGAAAGATTTTTATTATTATTATTGGAAAGTCATATATACAAAACTAACCTTTAATTCTTTGTAAAGACTTCAAGCTATTTAGCCCTTGTCATTTAAATAGACCTGGTAGAAATATTGATCACCTCAATGAGGCATCCGTGTACCCACACTTTGGTTGGACGGTTTGCTGTTAGACTTGATTGGTCGGCTCCGATCTTGTTTACTCTGCAGTTCTGGCTTTGGGCCAACCTTAGGTGGCATGTTTGCCTGGTAGGCCGCCCTCTGCTGGCAGAAGGCGCCAGAGCGATTGCTGAGAAGTCGTGCACTGCCAACAAGTTCATAAACCTCGGTGCCAAGTCCCAAATGTTGGGTTGAAGACCCAGCCAGACAGATCTGTGAGGTTGGCCGCGGGTCCCGCGGGTGAACCTCAGTGGGACGAGCCCTCCGTGGCACCTGTCTTCTTCTGCCCTGGCAGGACAACCACCTGGAGAAGTTCTTCACCCTGTGCCACTCGTTGGAGAACCAGGTGACTTTCCCCATCCGCGTGCTGGATCAGAAGATCAGCGAGACGGCCCTGGAGCACGAACTGAAGCTTAGCATCATCTGCCTCAACTCCTCCCGCCTCGAGCCGCTTGTGCTCTTCCTGCACCTGGTGCTGGACAAGCTCTTCCAGCTGTTGGTGCAGCCTATGGTCATCGCAGGCCAGACAGGTAAGGGGGTGCTGAGGAGCTAGGCAGAGGCAGGGCAGCTGTGTGCGTAAGGAGGAATGATTTGTTTTCAAAATCCAAATAGGATCTTCCTTAAAAAAAAAGATGTAGTTTTTTTTTTTTAAAGATTTATTTATTTATTGGAAAGTCAGATATACAGAGAGGAGGAGAGACAGAGAGGAAGATCTTCCGTCCGATGATTCACTCCCCACTTGAGCGCAACAGTCGATGCTATGCCGATCCGAAGCCAGGAGCCTCTTCCGGGTCTCCCACGCGGGTGCAGGTTCCCAAAGCTTTGGGCCGTCCTCGACTGTTTTCCCAGGCCACAGGCAGGGAGCTGGATGGGAAGTGGAGCTGCCGGGATCAGAACCGGCGCCCACATGGGATCCCAGCGTGCTCAAGGCGAGGACTTTAGCCACTAGGCCATGCCGCCGGGCCCGATGTAGTTATTTTTATTGGAAAGGCAGGTTTACAGAGAGGAGGAGAAACAGAGGAAAAAAAAAAAAAAAAAAAAGATCTTCTGGCTACTGATTCACTCCCAAAGAGGCTGCAACAGCTGGAGCTGAGCCGATCTGAAGCCAGGAGCCAGGAACTTCTTCTGGGTCTCCCACACAGGTGCAGGGTCCCAAGGCTTTGGGCCGTCCTCGACTGATTTCCCAGGCCACAGGCAATGAGCTGGATGGGAAATAGAGAAGTTGGGACATGAACCAGTGCCCATATGGGATTCTGGAGCATACAAGGAAGACTTTAGCCACTAGGCTACCGCCCTGGGCCCTAGGATCCTCCTTTTTTTCTGATAATGTGAGTTCAATAGAGGCCAAGTTCAGTGTTACTTAAAAATGGGGGGGAGGGGGGACAGAAAAGCAGATTCAAACAAGATTCTTAATGTTACAGCTCTTTTCTGGTAGTTTTATAAAAGGTTTACAGGTGGTCTTGCAAAGCCCATTCCTGCTAATTAGGTGGTTTATTTTACCTCTTAGATATTTCTTGCCTTCTTGGCAAGCGAAGGGAGGGCTTGTCGAGGCAGACCAAGCGCATGTGTACAGCGTAAAGAGCAGATGGCCTGGGCCCAAGGCGGGCAGTGGGGTAACACACACATTTGCGGAGTAGTTGTTCCAGAGTCTCTGCTGTGTGCTGGTGTGTTTCACAGCACGGTGTGGGACCATGTCTCCTGGGCGTCTTGTTCACGTGCAGATTCTGATTCTGCTGGAAGAGGCGGCCTGGGAGTCTGCATTTCTCACGGCTCCTGGATGTCAGGAGGTGTGGGTGCCACCAACCGGCAGCCCGTTTCCAGCAGGGTTTTTAGTTGGAAGGACATCTAGTCAGTGTTTCTCATGGATGACTGCCCTGCGGCAGGTGGAGGAAGCTACCAGCAGGGAGTGGGCACGGGTCTGCCGCAGTGAGAGCCACCCCGCCCCGGGGGACAGCAACCCACCCTGTTGTGGCCTGGCTGTGCAGGGCTGTGGTCAGAATTCCCTGTCGCTGTCCAAGAACACGATCCAGCTAAGCTGCTTCTTCTTCTTCTTTTTTTTTTTTTTATTCCTCAGCCAACTTCTCCCAGTTCGCTTTTGAGTCCGTGGTGGCCATCGCCAACAGCCTACACAACAGCAAAGACCTCAGCAAAGACCAGCACGGCCGGAACTGCCTGCTGGCCTCCTACGTACACTATGTCTTCCGCCTGCCAGAGCCGCCAAAGGACTTGCCCAAGACAGGTAGTGTGGCCTGGAGGGTGGGGACCTGGTGCCCAGGGTGGCCCTTCCCCACCCAACTCAAAATGTTCAGTTTTATTTTTTTTTTTTTTAGAATAGTGGGAAACTTCCCTCCCCCCCCCCCCCAGGTTTTTCTTTCTTCTTTCTTCCATCTTTTTAGGCTTTGAATACACACCCTCCCCACCCTCCCCAACCACCAACCTTTGGTCTTACTTTGCTGTTGGATAATTTCACTGGCCAGTTCATTATTCAGTTGAGGATCTGTCTTTTGAAAAGCTGAGGCAGTGCGAGCTGAAGCCTGGAACTGCAGGATAACAGCGACCAAGCACTAAACAGATAGCTCATGTCGGTAGTAGTGGTGATTTTGAAACCCTGAATGATGAGAAGATATGTTCCTCTTCCCATTTCCCCAAAGCTGAACTCTTCAAATAGGAGGACCCAGGCAGTGGTGCGCGTTCCCACACGCCTGGGTCCTTCCTGTCCATCGGCCGCCACACTCCACCAGAGCTGGTGGCCGTGATGTAATGAGCAGAGCCAGTGAGATCTCAGAACCAACCTGGACCTTCCGTTCCATCTGTGCAGCCTCATTTCAAGGGAACCTGCCGTATGGGTTGAGTTCTAAAACTCTTGACATTGCAGAGGCCCTCAGCCACCTGGCGAGGTCAGTCCTTGGAAAGCCGAAGGCATCGTCAGAGCGCGTTGTATGTGCGTGTCCTCATGAGGCTTAAAGATGCTGCTTTCTTCCATGTCAGAAGGCCTTCTTGTGTGCCTTATCAAGTCACTACTACAGAAATACTAGTATATTTTTAAAATCCGCATTTCCAGCTTCTTCTCCGGGTCAGAAGTTCTGACAATCCTGGAGTTTATTTCCCCATGAGTGTAGAGCCAAGAGTAGCTCTTGGTTAGGCTTCTGTCTCTAGTTTACCTCAGGCCTCACCACTCCCTGCTGCCTCTTCCTCCCTCCCAGAACTGCACCCAAGCTTTTGATCCTAATTGACAGTCCTCATCTAGCCGGAAGTTCCTGCCATCACCTACCCCAAACCTCTTTAAGGTGCTTGTACTCAATGAGTGACTCGGGTCCTCTCTCTTGACATGCCCGGTGGAGTGCAGGCGGTAGCGCTGCCCTCCCTGACCCTCGCTACCACACCTACGGCCGCACGTCTGCCGCTGCCGTGAGCTCAAAGCTGCTGCAGGCTCGGGTGATGAGCAGCAGCAACCCGGACCTGGCGGGGACGCACTCAGCCGCCGACGAGGAAGTCAAAAACATCATGTCTTCCAAGGTAGGGAAGCAGTCAGAGCCCGCAGGTGGCGCGGGCTCTTCTCTTACAGCTTCTGATTGAGTCGTTTCGTGTCAGTGGAGTCCAGTGCCATGTGGCAGTCTTCTTTATTGGATGGTAATCAGGTATGGGAGTTGACACACCCATCACCGTTCACAGTCCAGCAGCGGGGACTTGGTGCGCGGAGCCTGGTAAGGAATACACGTGGACTGGTGGGCAAGAGCCCAAGTTTATTAACAGCATCGGACTTTGAAGGACTCAGGGTCCCGTAGGCGTCGAGGCAGGAGGATCTGAGGAACGTACATCTCAACAGCAAGGAGTCGGCTTCCCTTGATCTGCTAGAATGAAGCGTGGTTTTGGTCACGTATGGCTAGTTTGGGGACTGGGTACTTTCCGCACTGAGCCACAGGGAGGCACTCTTTCCACACTTTTTTTTTTTTCTGCTTTTCCATTGAAGTCATAAAAGTGAAAGCCGGAAGGAACTGGTCAGTACTGCCTGGTTCTCGGGAACTCGGACTTGGGCATAACTTGACCTCGCCTTCCCTTGTACAGTGTACTTTAAGAAATGTTTATGCAAGAGCAAAATTCAAAGAGGATGAATATTCCGCACTAAATGGTGCTGCTTCTATTCTGCTAAACATTTTTAAATACACGCATGAATAGTTTTCCGTGAACTTAGGGTCTTCCTCGTATTTCTGCTTGGCAATTATTTTACCTTTGTTACTAGGGGAAAAAAAAAAAAACCCAATACACTAAGCCTGAATTCTGAGGTTGCGTGTTGGGGTAATTGGCTCATCCTTCCCGGATTCCACTGTGACTGCCCAGGACTGACTGCTGAGTGATGCTTTGTGTTTCATTCAGGCTGCTGACCGCACCTGCAGCCGTATGTCTTACTACTGCTCTGGCAACAGTGATGGTCCAAGTTCTCCTGCCGCCTCGAGGCCCGCCAACAAAAAGGTACCAAGTCGGGCAAGGGTGAAGACAGCCACGGGACAAGGGAGGCAGGAATTGCAAATGCTCTGGTGCTGGCATTGAAAGTAGATGCCATCAAAAAGTACTCTGCAGCCGTGTCTACACACACACACACTCACACACCCATGCACACACACCGTACTTTTACAGCCCCATCTCTCATCCATTGTTCATAACTGCCCAACTTGGTGAGTCTTCAAGTTCTCCATGCTTGAGAATTACTTGGAAAGTTTGTTAAAGCCGCTTGCTGGACTTCTGATTCCGTTAGAGGGGTCTCAAGTTCATGGGAGATGAAATGAAAAGGTAAGTTCATTTTGAAGCATAGAAGCATTGAGTTCCATGTATATATGTGGAATCTTCAGACTATTCATGCAAAAAAAATGTGTTTTCAAAAAATGTGCGTACCAAAATAAACTTCTCTTAGTTCCATTTTCCCATGAACTTCTGCAGTGCCTTTGTACAACCGAGCTTCTGTCCGAGAGATCTGAATTACATATCTGACACGTTCCCAGTTGCCGCTGACCCAGGGCCCTCACTTTGGGAACCACTGTGCAATCCTGACTTTCAGAGGAAGCCGAGCTGGTGATAATGACTGACAAAAGTAGATGGCAATCATGATTCATTGTGTATTTCAATACTATATAATGTAACGTGAAAGTTTTCTGTGAGTCTCCGTAATTTTTAGCTGTCCCCATGAATTCAAAAACTTTCTAAGCGGCATGATTGCTTACACCAATAAAATTCCCCAATCATAATGACAGCTAGCATAGTTTAAGGGATGCGGGGGAAATCGACCTGTTATATCCCAAGTCTGTTAGGCACTTAAGCGAAGTTAGACTACTTAAGCTAAGATCTTGAGACTCCGAATAACATACTAACTACAGAGATTTCCACAGGAAGCCACTGGCAGCAGCCAACCTTGTAGGGAGATGTTTATAAAACAGGAAAGTAGGGAATGAGGCCTCTGGACTGGAGGGAGAGACCCAGCTTGGGATGTCCTGCCGGAGGCTGGCTCGACACACTTTGCTGTAATCCGGTCACTGTGTGTCTGAGCGGAAGGAGCAGAGGTTAACGAATAAAAGAAAGAGTGGAAGAAGATGTGGTTAGGCTTAAACTAAAATTGTCACTGACTCTAGCATTAGGCTGTCATAACCCCATTTTCCTTAACAGTGTGTGTTGGCCTGCAGCCTCATTTCCTTAAGCCATGTCCTGTATGATTTTTGTAGTTGCCTTGTTTTTGGACCTGAAATGAACAGAAGAGAATCGTTCCGTTTCAGAAGGAAGCTAAGCCAATAGTTTCCATAACAGCTCAGCAAATAGGGTTATTTTTTTTTCCCCCTGCTTGGCTGTTTTCTGAAACCCTCAGAACAAGTTGTGCTTTAATAATACTGGCCAGTAAGAAGCCTAAATTACTTTAAGAAGTGGCTTAACCTTGTCTAACCTCCTCTTGCCAGAAGATCTTGCCAGTCACAATGGCCTATTTGCAGAGGCCTCACTTTCAGACTAGTATCTTTCCCACCATGGAAGAGCGTGCAGTGTAGCCAAGTTACATCGTGCGCACCGTCAGACCACCTGCTGGATGGAGACTCAACCCCACGCCTCTCCCAGATGGTAGAGCCTCACTTAAGACCCACAACAGAGAAGCAACACGTTAACACGTGTGAGGATGCGCTAACGTCATGTTTTCAGTCAACCTGACAACATGAAGTGAAACAATTGTGAAATTGAAATACCTGAGCCTTCTCCCTTGCTCACCACGAACCAGCTGGGGCTGTAACTAAACCATCAGACAACTGCACAGGAAGTTTCCTTGTGTCTCCTTTTAGCTTAGCTAAGTTCCGCTCCAATTTTCCTGCAGCTGAGATGCAGTAAATGAAGTTGCCTGCATGTGTTACTGGGTGGGTAACTGCTAAGAAATATGTTTGTCAGAGTTAGGTTTTGCTCCATGTCAATCACTAAGATACAACCTAACTTTTTTTTTTTTGAAGATTTATTTTCTTTTTACTGGAAAGTCAGATCTACAGAGAAGAGGAGAGACAGACTCCATCTGCTGGCTTACTCCCCAAGCAGCCGCAATGCCAGAGCTGAGCCAATCCAAAGCCAGGAGCCAGGAGCTTCTTCCGGGTCTCCCACGCAGGTGCAGGGTCCCAAGGCTGTGAGCTGTCCTCGACTGTTTTCCCAGGCCACAGGCAGGGAGCTGGATGGGAAGTAGAGCAGCTGGGACACGAACTGGCGCCCATGTGGAATCCCGGTGCATGCAAAGCAAGGACTTTAGCTACTAGAAACCATGCCAGGCCACAACCTAACTTTTATATAAGGATATGGTAGTAGTGTTTATAGTTGTAGCTTCCTTATTCCCTGAATAATAATAATTAAATATAACAAATATCAGTGTATATTCTAAGAGTTACAGGTATAAAATGAATCAAAGCTAGGGGGAATTTTTGCCTTAAGCAACCCTCCTGGTTTGTGCGAGACTGAGGAAGTCCCCAGAATGGGGGACTTTCCATTTGGAGACCAGAACTGTGCTAGTTTAGTCCCTCCACATTTATTCAGAATTTCCTCCCCATCAATGCCGTTGTCAAGAGTATTTGCAGGAAGCTGGGTAATGGGGAGACTGGCAGAGGGGACGAAGGTACCATCTGCTGTACTTGCTCATGAGCAGACTTGGGACATAGGACTTCACATGTTTTGAGTTCAGGCTTCCATCACTCTGCTTAAACCCAACCAATTCTAGTCCCCACAAAGCCATAATGGTTTTTTTTTTTTTTTTTTTTAACGACTGTATAGTCTGAAGGGAAATCAGATCCCCTGGAGATAGCAGTGAGACCCTGGACTAGCAACGGAAGTGTCATCTGGGAGCTTACCAGCAATGCAAATTCCTAGGGCTGGCGCTACGGTGTTGTAGATGAGATCTCCACCTGCAGTGCTGGCATCCATATGGGTGCTGGTTCATGTCCTGGTGGCTCCATTCCAATCCAACTCCCTGTTTATGTCCTGGGAAAGCAGGAGAGGATGACTCAAGTCCTTGGGTTCCTGCACCCATGTGAGAGACCCAGCAGAAGCGCTGGCTTCTCAGATCAGCTCAACTCCGGTCACTGTGGCCATTTGGGGAGCAAGCCTATGGATAAAAGATTTCTCTCTCCTCTCTGTAACCTGCCTTTCAGTAAAATAAAATAAATCTTTCAAAAAACAAACTGCAGATTCTCAGGCCCCACCACAGACTCTGTGAGGATGGGCAGCTGGTGTTTTGTACAGCCCTCTGGAACCTTCGGATAGGTTTGAGTTTAAGAACCACTTACACCAAACGCATGATTTGCACCAAACATTGAGGGCCTCGGGGTGGATGGCTTGCCAGCAAAAGTTAGCATCAGGGGCCAAAAGAAGAGGCAAGGACAGTACCAGTTCCTCTTGGTGCCCCGGACTGCTCTCCCCCACTAAAAGGCCACTTCTGTCCTGTGCAATCCTCCCCCAGCCTTTCCCTGCCCACCTGCATGTCCTCTAGGCCTGGGTTGTTTCAGCACTGACTTTGCCATTTGCCATGGGTGACCCAGGATGGGTAAGACACGCGCTCAAAAACTACCGAACAATTCAACTGGACAAAAATGAAAGTTGTGGTGGTGCACGCCGGCACTTGTTCTCACAGCCTGATGTTTGTGGTTGTCGTGCAGCACTTCCACGAGGAGCTTGCCCTGCAGATGGTGGTCAGCACGGGGATGGTGCGAGAAACTGTCTTCAAGTACGCTTGGTTCTTCTTCGAGCTTCTGGTGAGATTCCTGTGTGTTTGGATCGGTAGCGTAAGAAAAGCACAGGGCATAGAGGGTGTGGGGGGGGCCTCTCCTATCAGGAGCTGGCAGTGTTCTCCAAGTTGCTCTTGATGAAAATCCAGTGTTGTTGCTTGGGAATTTAGCTCTCTTTCCTGCATCTCAACGTCCGTCTTCCACCTTTGAAAACTGGTTCTCCCTTGAAAACTCTGGAACCTGCTGCTTGTCGTCGCGTTCACCTCTCCCCACCTGCGCAAGTCTCCATCCTCTCTGTTCCGCCTTTGCAATAACGTCCTCTCTCTTCTGCCTGTGTTCGTTTTTGCCCACGGCCACCTAAACACGTAAAATCATTCTCCTCCTTAAAGCTCGTTCATGACTTTGGGTGTCCCGAGGACAAAGCACAATTTTTGATGATGACCTTAAAAAGCCATCGTGTGGTTGCTTTTGCCTTCCTGCACCTCTGATTTCGTTCTGCAGGTCATGCCCCCTCGTGCCGTCACACCGCTCCCCGTTGGGTTCCACAGCGACGCCAGGGCCTTTCAACACCACCCTCTTCCCTCCCTTCTTACGCCCACATCGGGTTCTCTTTATCTTTCAACTTACCGTGTCCCCCGCCTCTGAGACTCCTTTCCTGACGGCCATGAGCTCTGATGTGTCCTCTGCACCTCCCATTTTCCACTGGACGCCATGTCGATTTCCGTCTCAGCACTTCCTTTTTTATCTCGTCTGCTCAGTCTCAAGGACTTTGTCATTCTGTCCCTGCCCCTGACACTCTCCATGAAATCACACAGCGTTTGCAGAAAACACCATGAAAGTTGTCAATCTGTCATTTGACAATTTCTGTCACTTCCCCTGCAGAAGAAAAGCAGAAGGTCTTGCTGTAATACTTAACTTTAAAGTGAGAAGGATGGCGGTGCTGATTTTTGCTTATCAACGAAAGAATATAATTCAACCTAAAGCCACTAGGAAGTAGTATTTTGTCAGTATTAATAAAGAGAGAGACAATTTAAATGAAAAACGTATGCTAGCACAGACACCAGTTAAATGTGAACGTTTGAAAGCGATTTGGAAGATGAGGGGTGGGTTGAGATTGAGTGATGGTGTCAGTTTTGAGTCCCTTGGTCCCTTCCCTTGCAACATAAAGCGGACATCTTTTATAAAGAAAGATGGAGGTAGGATAGGATTTCTACCGAAGCTCTAATTGATCTGTGTCAACTGACGCCTAGGAAAGGGGAACAGTGCTAATCCCTGGGACGTAGAGACCAAGGGGATCAAAGAAAACAAACGCGAAACATACACTGGAAAGAAACAGGTCGCGTGCAATCTATTTCTAACTCTGGTGTGTGCATCAGGCTTAAAACGAAGGCTGCTCTTGCCCCCAGAAACACGTGCAGGACTTAAATCCCTTAGAATCTAACCTACTGCCAACGCAGAGATGAAAAAGAATCCCAAACACAGTCCCAGACTCCTACAACATAATCACCCCCGGGGTACTTAGTAAAAGTAACGTGGATTCTTGATTCCCTTCCTGGAGCTGCCTAAATAAAATTAGGAGAGGTGGAGGCGGCAACAGGTACTCACTTGTCAGGTGACCGCTAACCATACGAGCCATCTGCCGGCCCGTGCCACTCCTGCTGCTTGACTCCTCTCCAAAGCAAGGACTCTTTTGGGATTTGCACCTACCTAGCTCCAGAATTCTACAAGCCAAGCTGATAAAGTTGAATGTCCCTACTTGCAAGTCAGTTAGTTCACGATGCATCTACAGATATGTCACCCAAGTAATCCTGACGTCAGAATTCATAGGATAAAGTCCTAAACGAGAGCTATGTGTGATTTCCAAGCCATTTTGCATTATTTACTCATGCACATGGGCCTGCCACCCCTAACATGGAGCTGGGGCTTGCCTGAACCCCTCAGCCGGGAAGGGACAGAGCTTCAGTTCTCCAACCTTCACATCTAGGCTCTTGTCCTCCACCATTTTGCTTCTTTGGGAAGGTCAAAGGCACGCACCATTTTCTTACCAACACATGGAATTTGTGTTCCATGTGGAAGTCTGCCTGAATGCAGCACTACAGTAAATATGCCTTCCCCACTCGTGATAAACCCAGGATCCCTAAGCCTGAGTTTGAAGGCAACCTTGCATCCCCTGGAGGTGTAGAGATAACTCTACCCTTTCTATAATCCCAGTAACAGCTGGCATCCCCAAGAAGAAGGGAAAAATAATATCTAAATTGTATTGAGCATCTCACTAGATGTGCCAGGCACTATTTTTGAGCATTATTTATTTAATCCTCATATAACCTTGAGGCAAATGTGTTCTCGTCAATTTAGAGATGAGGTTGCAAGCAAAGGTGGGGCCCTCCAGGTCCTTAACTGTGGTGCCACTTTGCTGTCCCTAACTGCAGGGAGCTAGCAACCTCAGAGCAGCTGGACGCTGCTTTTGATCCTGCACACTTATTCACTAGGGCTTGGTGGGCCCAGGAGACAGAGCATAAACAGAAGTGGATACCCGTGTCTGTCTTTAGGGAGTCTGTCCGTTCTGATACACAGATAGGTCACTGGGAAGGAAGGTCCCTTCTAAGCACATTGAAGGAGTTGGTCCACAGGCAGCTCAACCTGGACACAGTTACCTGGGGCTCTGCTGGCCGTGACCTGAGTCACGGGACCTGAGAGGGAGAGGGAGATATACCTGAAAAGCATCTCCCAAAAGGACTTGCCTGGGGTATGTGCCTGGCAGGCGCAGCACCTGCTTTTGTCTCAGTTTTGAAGGATCCAGGGTAGGGAACAGTGCGTTAGGAGGCTAGAGAATGCTGCTGCTGAAAGAAGTGAGGACCTGTATGATAGAAAATGGAACCTTGGGGAAATACTGCGCCAGGGCAGAGAGAAATAAATGTGGACAATACAACTGCATCCGAAAGGGCGAGGCAAGGTGGCCCAAATCATGCGGTCCCGTGGAGACCACCTCACTAGCGGTCAGATGGAAACTTCATCTAAAGTAGGGCTGGGAAACATCCAGTCCCTGGGCAAAATAAGGCCTGTGAAATCATCCGACTTGGTCCCCTGCCCCAGCAACTGTGGGCAGGACTCAAAAGTCAGGAAATTTACAAGCAGGCTAATGTGTAGTGGTCATGTGGTATATCTCACAAATGATGTTATGCATATTCGAACGACTCTTGCCAGCAGAAAGCTTCCCCACCCCAGAGAGAGGCTGGGCTATGTGCAAGTAGAAACTGTAAGCCGCCAAGCAGAATTTTGCAAGGAAATGAATCTGATTCCTGTAAAACATCGGTGCTTAAAGCATTCCTAATGTGTTTGCTTGACTGCAGCCTCATTTGACTTAACCCATAACCGGAGTGGTGTAAAACCATTCACTTGTGTTGGTGTCCAGGAGGCAACACACAGTTGGCTTGGACAGAAGAGTTGTTGAATACAATCCTAGGGTGAATTGCATACTTGCTAACGAATAAATCTCTAGGCTTCTAGAAACTTCTGAGCGCAAAGCTCTAAAACTCAGAGGTCAAAGGGTAACGCCTGGTTTACTCACTCAGAACATGTAATTCAACATTCAGGGTTCCTTGTATTCATACCCCTTGTATGAAGGAGCCACAAAGGCCAATCTGGAGGAAAATTTTGTCCTTGCTTCACCACGCCCTAAACATACTAGGCCAAGCATTTGTTAGTATTTCTACTGGTGTTCTCTGGACACTCAGGGGACACAGTGGCTATCTGGAAAGAGGCCATTGGTTGAAAGATAGTGTGTGAGAATTATTTCCTTGGTTGTGGTAGGCAGGAACTGAATATAGTAGTGAGTTCTAAAAATCCTGCTGCTGCAGTGCAGGAGCCAGCAGCAAACCGGAAATAGGGCCACCCAAAGTAGGAAGATTTTGCTTTCGTAGGTCCTGAGTTAAGAACGTGGTAAGAAGGACACTTACCAGACAAAATCTGGCCCTGCATCACACCCTTCATTCAGGTCCTCAGCCCAGATTATGTGTGAGTCTGTAGGATGAGGGCTTTCACATGCCCCAAATCAAACAAGACCCAGCAATGCCGCACACACAGGATGTCACATTTTTTTTTACTCTTAGGGCCTCCCTGAAGTGACCATGGCTTTGTCAAAAAGCACGTAGTCTTGTTTCTCAACCCTTCTCATTTTGCCTTCTCTTCCTCTTGATCTCTGTGCTAACAAAAATTGCTAGTCTGACGTTGTTCTAAACAGAAATCCACTGTTGTAAAATTCTCCCATGAACATGGGAATGGATGGAACTCTACTTCCACACGACCGTCCAGCCCTGACCTAGGGGACGAGTGTGGGAGGTTGAACTTTCAGGCTGTTTCCTTTCACAACTCCTTCCACTAGCCTGGCCGCTTTCATGAAAATGACATCAGAGGGTTGGTATCGAGTAGCAGGAAGCCCCTGACTTTCCCATCAGACTGTCCCAAATATCTCCGAGCGACGTTCTCCAAGGACAAGACCCAGCATCGCAGGGTATCAGATGTGGCTATTTTGACTGATGAAGTTCCTAACCCCAGGAGCAAGCTCCCCACCAAATAGGCAGTCTTGATTTTAAGATTGTAATAGGTTAAGGGGCAGCAGCCCCTCTCCTATATGTACTGCTTCCATTAAATAGTAAAAGCTTTGAAATAATCAAGCTTTTTAATGTTGACATTTTATTTTGTATCTATTTATATATGGACGCATATCATAAAAAAGCAGTTTTTCAAATGTATTTTCTATGATTCCTGCCATTTGTTACTAAATCTGGGCTGGTCGGGATTCTGCAGCGATACTTGGTCGAAATACAAACCTGGCAGTAAAACACAGAGTGGAAGTTAAAGTCACTCGCTGTTTTAACTTTATCGTAAAGATGACATAGGCGAGCTGTGACCAAGGGGACTCTGCGACGTTTAGAACCGTTTAGAAATGGTTGTGCTTTCATGCCAGTAATCATTTGCCTCCTCTATTGTCATTAAAACCAATCCTTTTTGTGTGTCACACAAACAGGTCTTAGAAGATAATGTAAAAAAAAAAAAAAAACCCAGCAATTATACATGTTCTGTGGTTTTAAAATGGTGGTGTGTATTTTTGGGCAAAAATCATTAGAGAAGAATTCTTCTCTCTAAAGGTTTTCTGTGTTCATGCAAGCTATGCAACCAGCTCCTGAGAAGTCCAAAGGGAGCTGTGTTTCCTGCCTGAGCTGACCACATCGTTCTGGGAACAAAACAGATCAACTCCTGCTCTGCTGGTTTAGAGCAACTGCTCTGTGGTCAGGTGCAACACGCTCCCATGGAAGGACAGCCTGGTGGTCAGGGCATCCCAGCTTTCCAGCATGAAAGCATTGGATGAAGAGGGAGTCCTTAGAAACACTGTGGTTAAAGAACTGAGCTCCCAGTTTGGTCATTGGCCAAAAGGCAGCCCCTGACTTGGGGTCAAGAAAAGGACACCCCTCCCACCCCCTACCACCATGGTAACCGTGCCTGACACAGGAGCCAGTCCGGAGCCAGCTTGGGAATTCCCAGTGCAGATGCAATGTCAGCAAATCCATTGTTCAAGGGCTTTTCTTGAAGTCTTTCCTACTTGGTTGCTGGTCACCCTTCTCCACGCTGACCTCTCCTCTCTCCCTCTGTAGGTAAAAAGCATGGCCCAGCACGTACACAACCTGGACAAAGGAGACAACTTCCGGAGGACTCGTTTTTCCGACCGTTTCAAAGATGACATAACCACTATTGTGAATGTGGTCACGTCAGAGATCGCAGCCCTTTTGGTCAAGCCTCAGAAGGTACCTGCGTGATCTTCATCTCGCCCTTCTCAGCTGCTTCACTTGAACCCGTGATGCTTTCATGGCACAGAAAGCGAGCATCCTTTTTAAAATGTCATCAGGATACTACACTGAATGACACTTAGATGCAGTGTGTTAGACCCTGTGGGGGCTGGGGGATTGTTATGAAGCAGTTGCAATATGGGCTATCATTTCAGTGATTTTTATCGCTATAGATGTGGAAGATAATAATCTTGCAGTTAGGAAATACACTCTAAAGCATTACAGGATAAAAAATGTGATATCTGTAATCTGTTTTCAAAAATCGTTCCATAAAGCACGAGAAGAGCAGCAGTTCTGCTCAAGGGAGCACAGCGGTTCTTTGCACTCTTGACACCTTTTCTGTGGCTTTAAAGTCCTTTCAAAATGGAAGTTCAAAGACTTTCAAGACAAAGTAGAAGAATTCTGAAGGTAACTCTAAAATGTCAGGGAGTGATGCTGATCAGCAATACTTTTATCGTTATTAAGAAGTATTTTGGTATCAAGAACTTAGCACGCTTCTAGTTAGTTAAATAGCTCACGGCCCACTTTGTTAGGACAGCGTGTTGATAGCTTTACGTACAGCGGCCTGAAATAAGAAAGAGTGAAGTTGCTAAGTGTTCCACGAGCCACACGCTAAATGACAAAGCCAGGACTGGAAATGGCAAGCACGCATCTCAGGGTAGTGCCGTAAACTACAGGAAGAAGGAGCAGGTGGATGGTACCGGGAGAGCTCCATGACTTCCCAGGGGGTGCCGTGGGACTCCATCAGCAGAGTGGCCCGAAATTGCTGGATCATTCTGAGAATAAAAACTATAAGCACGAAAAAGTGAATCCCTGATTATTCCAAAGTGCTATAGAATCATCCAGAATAAAGCACTGAAATGTAGTAAAAAGTGAGAATTAAAAAAAAAAAAAAATGGATGCCTTTCCCTCTACTCATTTCTGCCCTGTCTCGCGCTAGGAATGCTGCCTACATACAATTAAAAAAAAAAAATTATTCGGTAAAAACAGATCTCTTTTATCCCAATTGAAAAGTCTACAATACTTCTTACAATTGAAGTTTATGTTTCCTCGAAGATGATAAATGCATTTCAAGTGGGTTTGATGGGGAAAAATATTAGCAGGGTATAAAAAAAATAAGAAAGAAAATGAGGGTTGTGTACTTGCGCATGGAGAGTGAGTTAAGTCACACACATGCAGATACGCACAGAGAGGGAAAAGTGACTGGAAGGAGATGCACCACATATTGAGTGTTCAGTAAAGAGTTGCTTGCGTCAACCCCCCAGCCTCAGCCTCAGCTATGGGCTAAATTACATGTGTACAAGTTTGCAGAATCCAGCTTCACCCAGAGACAGCCCCTGGGGTAACAGTACCTACCTCCTATAACTTACCCCCAATCTTGGAATCTTGGAGTTCCTGGGCGTGGTTGACCGCCAACCGTTGTGAGCGTTTCTGTGTCTGTTTTTGAAGGAAAATGAACAGGCGGAGAAGATCAACATCAGCCTGGCTTTCTTCCTCTATGACCTTCTGTCGCTCATGGACCGTGGCTTTGTGTTTAACCTCATCAAACACTACTGCAACCAGGTGAGAGCTCCAAGCTAGCCGTCCTGTTGCTTGCTGCTGCAAGCGTTGCTCGGTGCCGGGGAGGGCTGGCCTGTTGGTCACCGAGCTGGGCTGTGCGGCTTTGTACAGCCTTGGCCCTGTGCTGTAAGATGTCCTTCAGACATACAGGTTTTCTCGGATTCCTGCAGAGTCCAGCAGCGCTGAAGGCCCCACAGGTTCATTGGTGGGAATTGACATTATTTCAGGTTATGATCTGAACTCTCCCAACTCAACATTGAATAGAAATGGCATGCGTCTTAATCCCATCTTTGACCAGGTCCAAGTGGGATATGTCTTTTCCTATATAAGGGCCAAGTCATTAATCTATGATTATGAAGTTCTGACCAGGACAAGCCCCAATGAAATCAAAGAAGTTGAATTTCACTGAGCACAAAGTAATACCTTGTCATCCAAATGTGTCACATCAGTTGTGCCTCCCCCTTGTCAAGTTTTGGAATAGAATTCTTTCTTCTTTCACTTGCTCAATCTGCCTTAGCGACAGTGATGTAAATCGCAGTCATGGCTGCTCCTCTCCTCCTTTCATATTCTTTCTCTAGCCATCCCTGCTGTCGTCACCGAACAGGCCCATCGCTCTCCCTTCCGGTGCTCCCCGTCCCCTGCCACCACCACCACCACCTGGCCGGCTCTGGTTAGAAAACAGATGTGGCCATGAGAGGCGTGAACCTGCCTGGGCACAATGCGGCCAGGACCACATGAGAGGGGCGCATCGCTCCCAGTACAAGGCGGCCCAGAGGCTGACAGCCACAGGCGTCCACCCAGAGCAGTGTGGGAGCTCCCACGAAACAGGGAGATGGGGAACTGGGGGAGGAGGGATCAGGGGGACTGGTGTGTATCCCCCCCAGGGTTGCTCTGTGGCCTGTCAAGGGTCTCAACAAGCTGTCCTGCTCGGGGGACCTTGCAACTTCAAGGCTGTATCTTATTCAGAGGAAGCAGCTGTGCAGGGAGACAGCGCAGAGTTCACCCATCGGGCCAGCAGGGAAATGGTGCGATTCCGCCCCTGTCTGGGCTCTCTTTTACAATCACTGTTAAAATTTCAGTTAGGTGTGAGTTAATAAGTGAGTGTCTGCAATGCAGATACAACCCTGGCTCACTCACCCAGCAGCCGTCCTTCAAAAGAAAGAACAAAAGCGCTTGACTTTCCCAGAGGAGGAAGTCCAGATAAGGAAGCGGACTGGCTGACTGAGGAGCCTGGCATCACCGCCCTGTGCAACCTGCTCTCTGCCCTCCTGCCCCCCGGCCCCCCTGCCCACCCCCGGCCCCCTGTCCTCCTGGATCTCCTGCCCCTGGATCCTGTGGAATTGGTGACAGGAATCCTACACTGCTGCTTGCCCCTCCTGTCAGGTGTTGAGGGCTACAAGTCACTGGGTGAGTTTCAAACACGTAGCCATCTGGTTTCTAAACTTTACATTAGATATGGAAAGGAGATAGTGCATGCCCTCACTGACCCCAGGGTTAGCTGTTCGCCTGGGCGCCTCCGGGGCTTTAAGAGACGTTCATTTTTATCTTCCCCTTCTCTCTCATTTGGCTTGTGCTCCCTCTCTCTTTTCACATTCCCTCCTTTTCCTTTCGCTACACACTCTGTTCCTCTTTCCTTAGTCTCACCTGCCCGAGAGCCCTAGGGCGGGCATGTGGGTATAGTCTGATCCTGATTCCTCGTGATGCCATTGCCCGCCTCTGAGACTGGAGGGGCCAGACAGGGGGAGGGCAGTGACCTCTGAGACATCCGCGTCTTCCTTGAACTTCCTTGGGCTCTGACGCTGTGGCTGCCGGAGACATTGCGCAGCCTGCTTAGCCCTGAGAATGGAACTCACCTTTGGAGTGATGTAATTCCTAGATTCCCAGCTCTCTAGATACTGGGGGCACTTCAAGCCTGTGGCCAGTCGTAGTCCTGCAGTGTCCTCTGATCTGATCACTTGCCACGCTCTGCCTTAGACATTCTCTCATGTTGTCTGCAGTGACTTTGTGCCAACGAGAACCCTCATCTTTCCTTAATAGTAACAATAGGCAGCTGGACTCCCTCAGTTATTCTGTAGCTTACAATGTGCTGCTAAGTCACCACCCATCTTGCGTAGGGGCCGCCCGGGGGCTGCAGCCTTTAGGATGTCAATGCAGGAACTACCCCTTCTTCCTCTTCTCTGAAACATCACTCACATTATTTTTGAAATAGTTTTGAAATTTCTGTCTTTCTTTTTAAAGATTTATTTATTCTTATTGGAAAGTCAGATATACAAAGAGGAGGAGAGATAGAGAGGAAGATCTTCCGTCCGATGATTCACTCCCCAAGTGAGCAAAATGTCCAGTGCTATGCCGATCCAAAGCCAGGAACCAGGAATTTTTTCCGGGTCACCCACACAGGTGCAGGGTCCCAAAGCTTTGGGCCGTCCTCAACTGCTTTCCCAGGCCACAAACAGGGAGCTGGATGGGAAGTGGAGCTGCCGGGATTAGAACCGGTGCCCATATGGGATCCCGGCACGTTCAAGGCGAGGACTTTAGCCACTAGGCCACGCCACCAGGCCCGAAATTTCTGTCTTTAACCAAGTCTCGAGGGCCTTCTTCCAAGTGCACCTGTCTTGTGCTTTGAAGTCCTGATTCCCGGCTTGACCAGAGAAACCTCAGTGATGGGAGTATAGCCATGTACTGATGGGTTTAACTTGATGGTGGCCTCGTGGGTATAAAGTCAGGCCAGAGAGCTCTCTGGAAAGCTAGCTTCTGCTCATTCAGCTTGCATGGAATTCAGGTGTCTTATTTTTTTTTTTTAATGTAACGCCTAATGGCATTCAGTTATTCTCAGGAAATGTTTAGTTATAGTTCCATTCTTCAGCCAACATGCTCCCACAAAACAATAGCTTCTCCCCCTCAGTGCCTGAAGATGGGTACTTATTGAACTTGTGTGGTTTAGAAAACTGCTTTTAGAGTGAATGAAGAGGAACTCGGTCCGTTTACAAAGAGGAGGCCCTCTGTATTCCTGGGCTGGAGCGAGAGGCCATTAATGGCCGCACAGTGGCAGATTCACAGGCCCTTGCATCCCTGTCCTGTCCCTGCTCTGGCTTTCCTGAGTGCCTGGGAATCTAGGTCCTTCCACTGCTCAGTACCTGAGAGAGGCAAAGCACCCCAGATCCCTCAGCCCCGGGCTCATGAACCCGCACAGTGAGATTTTCATAAAGCTCATAGTACCACCCTAGATTGCTGTCAACATAGAATTGCCTTGGAATTACAGATCTACAAAGTGGGGTCAGAACAAAGTTCTTGTTTTGGATGCTTGTTAGCATCACTAGAGCGACAGTCACGGATACAAGTGTGTTGGGTCTTTTTGTAATGCACAATTGACCCTTTCGTACACTACCTGCCTGACTTGTATTGAGGTGATTGTCTTACTCTGGGGGAAAAAAAAGATGGTTTTGTCTGCCGTCCTCCATTCCACCTGCCTTACAGGAAATGGCTCGTTTCTCCTTTCTTCTTTCTTGCCAGCTGTCAGCCAAGCTCAACAGCCTTCCCATGCTCATTTCCATGAGGCTGGAGTTCCTGAGGATCCTGTGTAGCCACGAGCATTACCTCAGCCTGAACCTCCTCTTCATGAACGTTGACACTGCTCCAACATCCCCTTGTCCCTCCGTATCTTCCCAGGTAACGAGCTAACTGAAAAACTATTTTGAGCTATTTCTTTTTCACTTGTTTAATCAGGTTATCTCCTATAAAGATCGATCATTTAAATAAGAAGAAAACTCCAGCTATTCAACCCGGCTCAGTGGATCCACGTATGGACAAGCGTACAGTCTCAAAGTTGTGCCACCTTTAATGATTCATAAATCTAGAAACTGGTTTCTTCCTTTGTACAGCCAAGGAGAGAAAAGAATGTACAATCACTACAAAATTCCAGAAATTCATGGAAAAGGCTCAAACCTTGTTGTGTGTGACATGAACCAACTATGTTGATATTGTGCAAATACAGGCTTTCAAAGGCAGAAAAGTTTTAGAAACCATGTGTGGACTGAGTTTTCTTTGCTGTTGGCAGTTTGTTGAGTGTAAGTTGTCAATGCAGAAGGAAAGGAAGTAGGGAGAGCGAGTGTGTGATGAGTTGGGAACCTTTTCTTCAGTACAGAGTTCTTAAGGAAGTAGGGCCTGCTGGGAGAACATTCAGGAAGCGTTCTTTTGTCATCATATTCTCTTTATAGGGTGTAGATAAGTGGCTTGGAGCAGCAGGCCTGATGTTCTGATTCTCTTTCTCTTGCATATTCTTTTCTACTAAAACTAAGCTAAAGCTTTATCTTATTAAGGAAAATGAAAAAGACCACGTTAGCAGTCCATGCCAGGTGATATTTTCCAGGTGTTGACCACATGACCATCTTAATGTGACCCGGGAAGGATAGGGCTGCTGAGCAGCAATTCCAAAGTATAAGCCTTGTGCTGCAACTTGCAGAGAGGTTAACGCCCCAAGACCACGCTAGGCCGAGCTCGCCCTACCTCCTCTCCCATACTCCTCTTCTGACATCCCCAGGATCCTAGAATCGCCAAACCAGAAATGATTTATGGAGATACTTTGAATTTTTACTTCATTTATGTTTATTGTATTCAAAAGCCTGAGAAAGAAGGCTCTTCCGTCCACTGGTTCACAAACTAAATGCCTGCGATAGCGAGGGCTGGGGCCAGGCCGAAGCCGGGAGAACACAGCCTGGTCTGGATCTCCCATGTGGGAGACAGGGACTGGCAGAGTCACTGGTTACTACCAGGGTGTACAGTTTGGAAGCTGGATTAGAGCCGGGGCTGGGACTTGAACCCGGTTCGTCAGTATGTCATAGAAATGTGATGCATATGTCCCAAACCACGTGTTAATCCTTGAGCCAAAGTTTTACCTGTGACAGGTTATTTACAATGCTCTTAGTGAACTATCAAATGTGCTGCCAGGCTAAGAAGACAGGACAGAAATTTCTTAGCATCAGTGAAATTTCTTAGCATGCCTGACACCGCTTCTGGACCCAGAGCAGTCAAGGTCAGCATGCATAGCCATGTTCAATATGGTTGGAACTGAGGACGCAGAGACCGTCCTCCAAGGGGCTGGTTTCTCAAGGAGACGATATCTTCTTTCAGCCACAAAATTGAATGCAATTTTCATTCCATTACACATTTCTTCCTGGGGATATTAATCCTCAACCATTGATTCTTTAAAAAAATTTTTTTTGCTTAATTTCTGTTGCAAAGTCAGATATACAGAGAGGAGAGACAGAGAGGAAGATCTTCCATCCTTTGGTTCACTCCCCAAGTGACCATAACGGCCAGAGGTGAGCTGATCCGAAGCCAGGAGCCAGGAACTTCTTCTGGGTCTCCCACGCAGGTACAGGGTCTCAAGGCTTTGAGCCGTCCTCGATTGCTTTCCCAGGCCACAAGTAGGGAGCTGGAAGGAAAGCGGGGCTGCCGGGATTAGAACCAGCACCCATATGGGATCCTGGAGCATTTAAGACAAGGACTTTAGCCGCTAGGCTATCACACTTGATCTTGAGTCTTTTTTTTTTTTTTTTTTTTTTTTTTTTTTTAGAGAATTGTTTCTTTTTATTGGAAAGGCAGATATACAGAAAGGAGGCAAAAAAAAGCATCTGCCATCCACTGATTTACTCCCAAAGTGACCACAATAGCCAGAGCTGATCTAAAACCAGGAGCTAGGAGCGTCTTCCGGGTCTCCCACATGGGTTCAGGCGCCCAACCTGACCATCTTTGATTTCTTTCAGAGATCACAAGCAGAGACCTAGATGGGAAGTTGGGCGGCCAGGACACTAACTAAGGCCCATATGGGTTCCAGGCTACTGCACCGGGCCCTCAGCCATGATTCTAAGTGGGGAAAGGAATGTTAGTCGTGTTTTACAGTCTGTGAGAGCTTTATTTCCATCTTTCCCCTACTGGCAGTCTTCCATCCATGGGAACGGGAAGGTGAAGTCGTGCCCTATGCTTGGTTCTGCCACCTGTCACAGGAGATCCTAGCAGCACCCTCACTGGGTGGCATCCACACAGCCCGGCAGGGGTGCCTTGAGGGCTCCTAGAGCCACGTTAACTCCCGTGTTGTGTTTCTGCAGAACTCAAGCTCCTGCTCCAGCTTCCAGGACCAGAGGATTGCCAGCATGTTCGACCTGACCCCGGAGTACCGCCAGCAGCACTTCCTCACCGGGCTCCTCTTTACAGAGCTGGCTGCCGCTCTGGATGCCGAAGGGGAAGGGTGCGTTTCTGACATTCAGAATGGGACATGAAGCAAAAAAAAATAAAGAGAAAGAGAAAGAGAGAGAGGGGGAGAGAGAGAGAGGAGGGGAGGAAAGGAGAGAAGGAGGGAAGGAAGGCAGAAAGGAAGGGAGGGAGGGAGGAGGAAGGAGGAAGGAGGAAGGAGGATATGCCCCTGAATCAAAATCTGCAGCCAGACTTGTCACACTCAGCCAGGCCTGTGCCACTCGCCAGTTCCAAGGAGTGGTGGCATCCATGCCTTGAGAAAATGGCACCTGTCCAAATATAAGAGAGGCCGGGCATGGAAGCCAGCTCTCCCGGGATGCTGGCATCAGTGAGCCGGCTAGAGACAAAGCCACTTTTAACGAAGGCGACAGCATGGAGAGGTGACAGCAAGATGCCACTTAGCCTAGTGCTAAGAAGGGGACTGAGATCACCCCCAGTCCAGTTCCAGACTCGCCAGGAGAGAGACGCCCGATCCAGGTCTTATGGTACTTTGACCTCTCACACTTATTACACAGGCAGGCATGCAGCACTGTGTCACCCCGGATGTCAGTGGACACTGAGAAAGTGTCCTGCCACGAGCCTTTAGGCTTAGAAACTCTTAGCCTACCTGGATGGAATGAAGAAAGCCATGACTTCCAATTTCATCCTAGCAGCTGGCGAAGGCTTTCCACTGGACACCGTTGAGTGTTTGGGGTCATCAGAAATTACATCAGTGTACAAAACACTCTTTTTTTTTTTCTTAAAAAGAATTTAAGGATCGTGTCCCTCATCAAGTGGCAGGATTAAATCCGGAGTCATAGTTGTGGGCATTGGGGCCCTTCCAGGACCCATTTTTCCATACCCTAGCATCTCCAACTCCGAAGGACTTCTGCAAAAGAAGTTTTTGTAGACAGGCGTGCTGATTAGTGGCCACACTGCTGCTTTGTGGCAGCTTTACGTGTCATTGAAAGTTTTCTCCAGGTGTTTATGGTTTCAGGAAGAAGCCAGGATCTGCTTTACGCAGCGATCGTGGCAGCACGTTGAGCTTGCGTGACTGGGTGATAAATGGATTCCGAGTGTTTTGCCTGCGCTCACATTGTGTGTCTCTCAATTAGGAAGGTCCTGCGGTACGTTCAGCATTCAGCCTCCTTCTGAAAATCCGGGTCCTGTACATATCCTCCCATGCCTTGAATTCCACCTGCTTTTCTGAACCCTAACTCCGCCCGGTTTTCTCAATAGTCTTATATCCTGTACCTGTAAAAATCACTGGATGCGATTAACTAGAGAATGTCGCTAAAAAAGGATGAAGGAAAAGCATTAAAGATAGAAGCAGAGAAATACGAGGAATAGGGAAAAATGGAGATAGTGTTTGAAGAAAAGGAGAGAGGGGAATGGGAGAGGGAGATGGGTGGCAGTTGGAGACATGTGCCGACGCAGGTCTCTGTCAGCTCCGCTTCTGATTGGAAAATTCAGTGCATTTTTCCTGTGCTATAAGAGATTGATTCTGATCTTTAAATTATGAAGTATTTAGAGGGGCTGGCACTGTGGCATAGCTGGCGAGGCCAGCATCCCATATGGGTACCAGTCCCTGTCCTAGACATTGTACTTCAATCCAGCTCCCTGTGAAGTGGTTTCTAACATTACTTCAGGGTTGATGTTAGCAGTAGTTTCAGATTTTTTTCTTTTTTTTTCTTTTTTTTAACATCTGTTTCTAAGTCCTTGCAAAGTAGTTGCTGTCATCTTACTTAGCAACAGGCTAGGCTGGGTTCCAAGGTCATCATGTAATTACACAATGTCCAGATACATTCTTGCAATGTACACACACACAGAATACTTCTCTTACGGGCTCCCCTGGGGAGAATTAATGAAGGGGTCGTCTGTTTTGGCAACACAGTGATCCCTGACTGCTGGGTTGTTAGAAGGTCGTTAGAACTGTGGTCATAACTTAACCCTGTGGGCTACACCCCAGAAAACTATCCTTTTGGGGTCGGCACATTGGCTCAACTGGCTAATCCTCCACCTCCGAGCCCTGGGATCCCATACGGGTTCAGGTCCCAGCTGTTCCACTTCCCGTGTAGCTCCCTGCCTGTGGCCTGGGAAAGTAGGGGAGAAGGCCCAAGAACTGGAAATAAGCTCCTGCCTGGCCCCTGGCTTCAGATCAGATCAGTTCCTGCCAGTGAAGGCATTTGCGGTGCAAACCGGAGGATGGAAGATCTTTCTTTCTGTCTTTGCTTCTCCCTATAAAATCTGCCTTTCTGGTAAAGTTTAAAAAAAAAAAAAGAGGAAGGAAGGAAGGGAAAATAAAAGAAATGAAAAAAGAAAAAAAAAAAGAAAGCTGACATCCTTTAGTAATACTGTTTAAGTATCACAGCTTTTTTTTTTGTAAGAATTTTTATTAATTTATTTTTTATTAGAAAGTCACATATACAGAGAGGAGAAGAGACAGAGAGAAAGATCTTCCATCCATTGGTTCACTCCCTAAGCAGCCACAACAACCGGTGCTGCGCCGATCTGAACCCAGGAGCCAGGAGTATCCTCTGGGTCTCCCACGCAGTTGTAGGGTCTCAAGGCTTTGGGCTGTCCTCCACACTGCTTTCCCAGGCCACAAGCAGGGAGCTGGATGGGAAGTGAAACAGCGTCTGGAGTTAGAGCTGGCGTCCACATGTGCAAGGCGAGGACTAACGCCAGGTCTAGGTTCAGAGTTTTCTTTCACTGCCAGCACAACCTATAGCGGCTTCTGTGCACCTGTAAGACAAGAGGTGATGGGATTTGTTGTCTCTAGGTCCCTGCAAGGAGCCACAGCAGCAGTTTCCAAAAGGTCTCCCCCGGCAGTCCCCATCTTTGCCTGACACATGTATCTGCAGTGTCCATGGACCACGAACTCCTCAGTGTTTCTCAAATGTTTGGAGAGCATCTAGTGTCTGTATGACGATAGGAAATTGTATTGCCTTACTTAAAACCCCGCCCAGCGCAGGGACCATTAGGCTAAGAGGCAGTCAGAACAAATGCTTCTGAAGTACGCTTTCTAGTTATCTTCTTTTGGTTATAGTGCAAGAATCTGACACATTTTAACCTGCCGTTAATATTTTCCTCTATAACTCCGGATTCTGTTGTAGCTTTCCTTTGAAATAAAAATTAGCGGTTTACTATTGTGCATCTGTAGTTAGGTTGTAGTATCCGTTACAGGGGCGTGCTTCGTTTGCATTGTTACTGAGCTGGCAGGTACTTACAGCAGAGGGTCCAGATGTTAGGGATGAAGTCAGGCTAATTTTTGCCTGTGGATACACGTCAAGATAAAAGATATTTCTAGCACCTCGGACTCCTACTTGCAGTCCTGGTTCCCCCCACCCTACAGATAACTGTTGCTCTGGTTATTATCACCAGAGGTTGGTATTACCTGTTATTGAACTTCACATTCCTTTGCTAAATATCGTGCCAGCAGGCCTTGAGTGTCGTGGCATATATCAATAATTCATTGTTTGCTTTCAACTGTATGCAGTATTGTTATGTGCTCATATAGTTGGATTTCTCAACTCTCAGTAGAATCTGGCTTGTTTCCAGTTTGCAACTCTTAGAGAAAAAAGCTGCCATGAGCTGTTGCTATGCATGATTTTTGGTGACCGTTAAGCTTACTTCTTTGGGGGTAAAAATACACCCTACTTTTAAATTTAAATTGAGTGTATTATTCTTGAAGAGGTAAATATTTGCACATGGTTTGAGCAAATTCTCAAAAGTACGTATCCGTGGAACTAGGGGAGAAAGAACAAGTTAAACCAAAGCAAGCAGATATTAGGAACCAATATAAAGGTTACAGCGAAACAGAAAAATAGTAGGGGAAAATCCGGGTTATTATTAGAAAAAATATATATTATTAGGAAAAAAAAAACAAGTTTTATACACTTTCAGCGAAGCTAACCAAGACAAAACGGACTTAGCCTGGGATTGGTGCTGTGGCAGAGTGGATAGAGACCCTGCTCAAAACACTAACATCCCATAGAGACAACAGTTCAAGTCTCAGCTGTGTCACTTCCCTTCCATGCCTGTGCTAATGGCCTGGGCAAAGCAGCCGAAGATGACCCAAGCACTTGGATCTCTGCCACCCACCCGCCTGGGAGACCCAAATAAAGCTCCTAGCTCCTGTTTTCAGCTTGGTTCAGCTTTAGCCGTTAAAGTCACTTGGGGAATGACCCAGTTCAAAGAAGAGCTTGCTATCTCTATAATCCTGAACTTCGAATAAATAAATAAATATTTAAGGACCTGGTGCAGTGGCCTAGCGGTTAAAGTCCTCATCTTGAATGCGCCAGGATCCCATATGGGCACCAGTTCTAATCCCGGCAGCTCCACTTCCCATCCAGCTCCCTGCTTGTGGCCTAGGAAAGCAGTGTGGAGGACGGCCCAAAGCCTTGGTACTCTGCACCCATGTGGGAGACCCAGAGGAAGCACCTGGCTCCTGGTTTCGGATCGGCTTAGCTCCAGCCGTTGCAGCCCCTTGGGTAGTGAATCATCAGACCAAAGATTTTCCTCTCTGTATATCTGACTTTGCAATAAAAATAAATAAATCTTTTTTTAAAAATCTTCAAGGAAAAAAAAAAAAACCAGATTTAGCTCACTGTTCCAGAGATGGAATGGTCATATTAGCGAAACAACAACAACAAAACAGGTAAAAAGAGTGTTGTTAAGGAAAAAGCTAGAACCTTGAGACACCGCTGGTGGGACTATGCAATGAGAAAGCCACTGCTAAAACATTACACAGTTCCTCTAGAGATTAAATAGACTTACCCTGCAATCCAGCAGTTCGATTTGAGCTATGTACCCAAGAGAAGTCAAACTATGCAATCATAGTCACGGTAGCGCTCATAATTCATACAGCCCCAAGGCAGAAATCATTGAAATGGCCTTCAATTGGTGAACAAAGAAATAAAACTCTGTAGTAAAGATTTATAGTGTATCTATAAAATGGAGTCTATTCAGCAATAAGAATGAATTAAGTTCTGCAATGTGATCACCTCGAGAATAGGAGCCAGTCAGAACACAGCCACCCTGCTGCCTGCCTGTTTTCCACACTGTCACCTCTTTCTTTGAGTACTTAGGTCCTTGTTGGCTGTGGTTGGTCTGTCTCCCTTCCATCCTAACCGCGAGCATCTTGTGTTCTGTCTGTCCACAGCATCAGCAAGGTGCAGAGGAAGGCGGTCAGTGCCATGCACAGCCTGCTAAGTTCTCACGACCTGGACCCGCGTTGTGTCAAACCGGAGGTCAAGGTCAAAGTTGCTGCCCTCTACCTGCCTTTGGTCGGCATCATTTTGGACGCCTTGCCTCAGCTCTATGATTTCACAGGTAAAAACTTTTGTGATTTTTTGGCTCGGACTCATGGAGACCCCTTGCCAAAAGTCAAAAGTCAAAGTGGAATTAACAGGCAATTTGAATCCTGGTGCAAAAAAATTTTTTGAAAGTCACTCATATGGGGAGCTTTTCAAAAATGCATAGAAATATGTACTACGAAAAAGCAGTCCATAAATTTCTTCTACTTCTCTCTTTTTTTTTTCCCCAGTATGTTTTGAAGTACCTTCGTATGTATTTGAGCATTTCTTCATAGCAGCTGTCTCTAAACCTTGTTAGCATAGGTCCCGATGAGCTTTAAAAAAGAAAAAGGCACAAAGCCCGTGTTCATTTCTTTGTTTAAAATTGCTTGGTTGGTCCATTCGTTTCATTCATACATTGATTTTCTAGTATATGATGGACTTTATAAATTGTAACAAAAAATGAAACTACAACAAAATGACTTCCTTTGAAGTTCCTTGCCGTAACATCCTGAAATAAGATTGTTCTCTCCCTTTTGCTTTGTGTTTGAAGCAGTCCCAAATGAACCCAAATACTTTTTTCTTTTTATCCCAACTTTAGGAACTTATGCCATAGAGGGAAGATTTTGCCTTTGACACCGAGTCTGGTGCTTCGGCTTACCTCCTGCTTAGAGTAGATGAAAAATACTCTCCTCTCTCACACACACACAGGCACCCATGGGTGCAAACACAGGCACACTCGCACAGAGGCACCCACAAGTGCAGACACAGGTCCACATACAGACACAGGCACCCACGGGTGCACACATAGGCACAACACACCCAGACATTCCCAGGCGCAGACAGACACAGGCTTAAACACAATACTCTCATCACTTCGGGGGGCCATTGCTTTTTCTCCAACTCAAAACTAGTTCTTAGAAATGTCCGTGGTGTTCTCTTGACAATGAAGGATGCTGGGGCCTCGGGAGGGCTTACCAGAGCCTACCGTCCGTCAACTTGGAGTTTCCCTTGGGCTCCTGCAGCCATCTGCGTTTCCCCCACTTCTTCCAGATGCAAAGTGACGTGTGTGACTGACGTATTTCTGAAATCATTGTGGTAACTGGCATTTAGTTCATAGAACTGAGACCAGTTGTCTGTGGTCTTCAGTTTGCACAAATTAAGAAATGAACAACCACCACTCCTATGAAATTAACACTCTCCGTTCTTCAAAAAAAAAAAATGCCTCTAGCAAACACTTGAGGGGAGCTATGGAATGCAAGATTGAGAGGCCAGCTCAGGGTCTGTGGAGCTGGCTGAGGGCAAGGAGATGAGGGAGACAAGCTCAGAGCTCAGAGGAGCACGGTGCACAGTTAGGCAATAGAGCATCCTCTAAAAGCACCTGCCCGGATGGTGGCTGAGGACTGAACAGTCTCCCAAAGTGAGAGACAGGTGCTTGACCCAGTGTCTAAGATGCCTACAGAGACGCCTGCATTCCATTCCAGAGCTTGATGCTGCCTGGTTTACCTCCTGACTCCAGCTTCCTGCCAGTGTAGACTCCAGGACGCACCAAGAAATGACCTGCCATGTGCATAGGAGACCCAGGCTCAATTCTGGCTTCCTGTCATCAGCCTGCTGCTGTTCCACCCATTGCAGGCACTTTGGGAACCAGAAGATGAACCAGATGTTTCCTGTCTCTGAAAACAAACAAACAAACAAACAAAACTAAAATATGTAACACAGAGCATAGCATGTCATTGATATTCCATTTCTGGAAAATTTCTGGAGAGCTTAGTTTTAAGAGTTTGACATATATGTTCACACAGCAGCGAGCCAGTTTAGTTTACATGCTCCATGCTTCCTGTTTAATTTGGAGTTTTCCAAGTCAGAGGCGGGCATTTGGCACAGCAGTTAACGATGCCTTTAGGAATGTCCGCGTGTCATCGTCCCAGCTTCCTGCAGATATAAGCCCTGGAAAGCAGCAGGTGACAGCCCAAGAGTTCCGATCATTGATGCCAATATGGGAGACCAAGATGGAGTTTTTGGCTACTGGTTCTGTCCTAGGGAACCTTTGAAAGGTTGACTTTTTCGATGCCTTTCCTTCCTCTCTAAACTGTAAAAATAGGATGCCTGTCTCTTAGGGTGAAGAAAAGATGACGTCAGAGAAAATTTATAAAAGTATTTTATACAGAAAAGTTTTTATCCTTTCCTCCTTATTCTTGTAACTGACCGGATAATAAGGAGAAATAAGATTGTGCCCTCTTGTTAATCTTGGTAATAATGGTACCAGGCTTTGCACAGTTGCCATCTTCTACTTATTTGGCTATCTGTTTACAAACCCAGGTGCCCTTCAACGCAATAGTGAATTATCTTCCTGAAAAAAATTGGATTCTGTTCTCAGAACCTTGGCACATGAGGTGCTGTCTAGCCTCAGATTTTTCTGAAAAATTGAGGGTTCAAGTGGCTATGATGTTGACAGGTCAAAAGGAAAATATGAGTTTTTAGTGAATCAATCAGTGGCAAGTATTTTCACGCATTTTCGAGAACCACTTGAACGAATTGTGTGTGTGTGTGTGTGGTGTGTGTTTGAGAGAAAGAGAGATTGGCAGCATTTTACATACCAGTCTTGTGATTCATCTTTTGTGTGTATACCTTTAGACCTAGGCTTAATTTACGTGTATATTAAATAGCTACAATAAACTAACACTCATTTTGAACTTTAAAGGCTTTTTTTTTTTTTACACATTTGTTTTATTTAAAAGAATAGTAGAAAGTTTTCAATCCACTGGTTTACTTCCCAAATGGCCACGATAGTTATATCTGGTCCAGGCGGGAGCCAGAAACCTGGAACTTCTTCCCTGCCTCCCACGAGGGCAGCCCAGGCACCTGGGGCATCCTCCACTGCTTCCTCAGGTGCAGTAACAGAGAGCTGGACCAGAAAAGGAGCAACTGGGACTCAAACCAGTGGTTTGGTGCTGTCCTCTGTGCCACAGTCCTGGCCCCTGGAGGGTTTTTTCTTTGTTTGTTTGTTTGTTTGCTTTTTTAATGTATTTGAAAGGCAGTGCTACAAAGAAAGAGAGCCATCTTCCCAGATGGCCACAATGGTCAGGATTAGGTCAGGATTAGGCCACGTCAAAGCCAGGAGCCAGAAACTTCATCTGAATCTTCAAAGTGGATGCGGGAGCCCAAGTTCTTGGGCCATCCTCCACTGCTTTCCCAAGCACATTAGCAGGGAATTGGATCCGGAGTGGAACAGATGGGACTTGGACCAACACCCCATTTGGATGTCAGCATTAAAGCTGATGGCTTGCGCCATGTTGTCACAATGCTGGCGCCACTTTTAAGATGTATAACTTATTAGGCCCAGCACAGTAGTGGCTAAAGTCCTCGCCTTCAACGCACTGGGGTCCTGTATGGGTGCCGGTTCTAATCCCAGCGGCTCCACTTCCCAACTAGCTACCTGCTTGTGGCCTGGGAAAGCAGTTGAGGACGGCCCAAAGCTTTGGAACCCTGCACCCGTGTGGGAGACCTGGAGGAAATTCCTGGTTCCGGGCTTCGGATTGGCACAGCACCAGCCGTTGCGCTCACTTGGGGAGTGAATCATCGGATGGAAGATCTTCCTCTCTGTCTCTCCTCCTCTCTGTATATCTGACTTTCCAATAATAAATAAGCAAATAAATCTTTTGAAAAGCTTCATAACTTATTGTTGAACCACTAAAGTTGTAATAGTAGCATTCTACTCTAAGATACCTGTTAAATTCTATAATTATAGATTTTTTTGTTTGATCATTAAGATCTACAGATAAAGTGAAAAATATTAGTGTGCTTGAAAGTCATAAAAATTTCTATTCTCGGGCCCGGCGCGGTGGCGCAAGTGGTTAAAGGTCCTCACCTTGCACGCCCGGGATCCCATATGGGCGCCGGTTCTAATCCCGGCAGCCCCGCTTCCCTTCCAGCTCCCTGCCTGTGGCCTGGGAAGGCAGTCGAGGACAGCCCAAAGCTTTGGGACCCTGCACCCGCGTGGGAGACCCGGAAGAGGCTCCTGGCTTCGGATCGGCATAGTATCGGCCCGTTGCGCTCACTTGGGGAGTGAATCATCGGACGGAAGATCTTCCTCTCTGTCTCTCCTCTCTGTATATCCGCCTTTCCAATGAAAAAATAATAAAAATAAATCTTTAAAAAAAAAAAAATTTCTATTCTCACAAACTTGAAAAAAAAGTAATTTCGAGCCAATGTGCTTGCTGACGCTTTCTCTTTGTTAGTCTGCCTCCTTTTTTTCCCACAAGGAAGAATCAAATTCTAAACATTTGGTTCAAAATGACAGTGCTGACATTTAAAATAATTGGGCTCAGTGTGGTAGCTTAGTGGCTAAATCCAAGCCTTGTATTACTGGGATCTCATCTGGGTGTGGGTTTATGACAATAAGTGGGTTTAAGACAATGACAAGAAGTGCCGGTCAGTCACTTCCTTGGGCTTTGGGAAGGGGACATCAGAGGTCCTCTTTGAGCTGCCATCACAAGAGTGTTGTCGTTACAGCTGCTGATGCCCGCAGTGGGAAAAACCGTACCAGTGGCTCGGATGAAGAACAGGAAGGGGCCAGTGCGATCAACCAGAATGTGGCCCTGGCCATAGCCGGCAATCATTTCAACGTGAAGACAGGTGGAACCATGCTCTCCTCCTTGGTACGTTGATGCATATTTCTGTAATCTGTCTGATTTTTGTGCCTCCTGATGCGAGAACTCAGTGTGGAAAAGCATTTCCTGAGGCTGGAAGTGCAGGAGCCCAGGAGACAGATGGAATTCTGACAACAGCAGGAAACGATGCACTCTCAACTCAGGCAGGCTCACTGGTGCTCAGCAAAGAGGTGACCCTGGCAAGCTCCCACACATGGGAGTCTGGACTGTGTTTATTGACCTACTTGTTTTTCTTACTGTGTCTGTTTCTCTCCTGAGATAGTTGGGGCAGCATCTTGACCTAGCTTTTCCTGGTGGGTGACTTTCTGCTCTTCCCTTGGTGCTTAGCGATGCCCGTGAGGACCAGGGAGGAAGAAGGGCATTAGAGTGGCATTGTTCGTCTTACAGCGTGGTAACTGTGATAATGTTTTATGACGTCCTCCAACTTTCTGATGTCTGCATTGCCAAGATCACGTACTTGAGGCCCTGTGTGCCTTTTATATTACTTGCCTCTTTGAGTGAGAAACTCAACGGCCCAAAGTGCATCCATTGGTTAGAACATAGTTCCTGTGAAGCTAAAGGCTTCATTTATCCTTACGAACAGCCTCAGAATAATTAACGTGAAGGGAACTTCACGACCTCTGTTATTTCCACCCAAAACAAATGCTTCCCTTCAGATATTCCCAGATGCCTCATTGAGGTTCACCGCCACATCCCCCTGCATGTTAGCAGGACTGCGTGAAGCCAGAGTACACCCACGTGTTGCCCTTGTATTGGTTCGGTGACCATGTTCCCAGCACTCTGAGCATTTCTGGCAGAAGTATCAAAGCAAAAAGACAAAGCCCCCTGGGCCAACATGAGCCGTGGCTCAAGGTGCATTGCAGAGGAGTCCACTCACTTATGGATTTGATTAAACTGGAGAGAAGTTCATGATCTGTATGTAGCACCCTGGACTAGGGCAAAAAGGAAGGTAAACCTGAACAGTCAGGTTAATTGTGGTCCCTAGCCCAGCTAGGTCTCCTCTGTAATTCCAACCCCTCACCGTCCTACTCAGAGATCGTAGCCACACAAAAGCCCCATCGTGTCATTAAGATCATGAAGCGTGGATGGGTTCCAAGGCAGACCACCAGGCCACACTGCTACCAAAGCCCAAGGTGCTCACTCATTTCTGTGGCTGGAAAGCTGCCTCTTGGTCCAGAGCACAGCTCCCCTCCCACCTAGGCAGGACATGGCGACTGAAAGTAGACGCCAGTCAGCGTAAGGGTAGCAATCCCTGTGTTCCGGAAGATTCACATCCCGTAAGCCGTCCTGACTTCCTCCCCGGCCTGCACTTCCTTCCAGCCCTATAAGCAGTACAACGTGCTGAGTGCCGACACCACCCGCAACCTCATGATTTGCTTCCTCTGGATCATGAAAAATGCAGATCAGGGTCTCATCCGGAAGTGGATTGCCGACTTGCCCTCCATGCAGCTCAACAGGATTTTGGACCTACTTTTCATCTGCGTCTCATGTTTCGAATACAAGGTGAGTGTGCGGTAACTCCACTAGCTGCCAACTTTTACATCCCACATTCAGCTGTGCCACGGGAGGCCTCCCTCTTTAACCAGGCAGGGAGAGGCGCTGCTGTTTCCTCTCACTTCCTTGGCCTCTTGAACTTTGTAGATACAATCACTTTGCAGAGAAAGGATCTCTACCTTCTGGCCACAAGATTCCCGTTGAGTTCTCATTCAAGGATTTAAGCTACCACATCGCACTGAAGAAGATCTTAGTGTAAAACTATGACATCACTATGGAGTATTCTCATCTTGTTTGTTAAGGATTTATTTTTGCTTCTTTGAAAGGCAGTTCTATAGAAAGAGGGAGTGAGAGTCTGGGAGAAAAGGAGAGAGACCACCTATTACTCCTCAAATGTCAGGGCTGGGTCAGGCAGATGCCCGGAGCTTCTTCCTGGTCTCCCACGTGGATGCAGGGGCCCAAGGACTTGGGCCATCTTCCACTGCTTTTCCCAGTCATATCAGCAGGGAGCCGGATTGCAAGTGGAGCATCCTATGTGAGATGTTAGCACCATGGATGGCAACTTTACCTGTACCAGCCCCCTGTGCTCTGTGTTAATGACTGTTCCGTTGACAGAGGTCTCACCAGACTGTCTTCCTGTCTGTATTCTGTCCAGGGAAAACAGAGTTCTGACAAAGTCAGTACGCAAGTGCTGCAGAAATCGCGGGACGTCAAGGCCCGGCTGGAGGAGGCTCTGCTCCGTGGCGAGGGGGCCCGAGGGGAGATGATGCGTCGCTGTCGCACTACAGGTACGTAGGGTGATGCTGCTCGGCGTCCCACCAGCAGCACTGCACCCACTGGGAGGAGGAATGGCCTCCCAGCGCAAGCGCACACCACCTTTCCTGTTAGCGTAGCGGATAGCAACTACTGGGACGGTGTGTCATGCGCAGATATGTGATACAAGCCCCTGCCTCGCAGGGAAAGTTGTTGATATCAGGCTACAGGAACCCTGCAAGTGGGCCCAGATGGCACCTTTTAAAACGTGCTGGCCAAAAGTCACATCTAAGAACATGTGTTCTTGGAAAGTGTCTCTTTTGGTGGACACCATGCAGGGTGGGGAGGACCATTTGATGGCGTGGTCAAGAGACTAGATGACCCTAGGCCCAAAGTTATCTTCCCAAATCATTCAGGATTTGATAAGAACAGAACCAATTTCCCTATGTGGTCGCAGAGTCTCCCATTCCTGAAGAGACCATCCCCCACCCTACCCTTTCACTAGAAACCAACTCCAGACACACTGGGCTTATCACTCCAGGAGGTAATGAAAGACCCAAGTATCCTGGGCCCTCGTGTCTGTGCCCAAAGTGACCTAGACTGACCACTTGCCCTCTTCACAACTGTGCGTCTTGCGGGGTGGTGGAGGGCAGCCTTTGCAGCGATGGACACTGACCACACACACTCTACTTCTAGTAGTTTCCACTAGTTTCGTGGGAGCCCCGTGAATTTCCCGGAGAGTTCCTGTTTAAGAGAAATGTGCTGACACCCCAGAAAGGAAGGGGTTCAGTTGCAGATCTAAAATCTCCACCAAAGACAGGCCAACTGGAACACAGGTCTTGCGCCTTCCTCTTCCACCAGCATCCTGTGTGGGTCTAATTAAACCAGCGGTGCTGAGTCTGCTCCACTGGGCTTGTTAACGTCTGCTTGTCTCGGGAGGGCTTCAGGCTAATCAAATTCCTATCGTGCATTTCTTCACTCCTAGGGAATGACCGAGTTACAGGCCTCAATGAAAATTTGAGATGGAGAAAGGAGCAGACGCATTGGCGGCAAGCTAATGAGAAGCTAGATAAGTGAGTCACTCAGCAACTTTCTTGTTGCTTCTACCTAAAGGCCAAAGCCCTTTTTCCCAGGCTTCTTGTATTGCTCAGATAACTGCAACCTTCCAAGAGAAAGAAAAATGAAACATCACTACCTGTGCAAACATGGGCATCCCGGGCAATCCAGGGTACAAGGGTTGTAGTGTTCAGGTTTGAGAAACGATAAGCATTTCAAGAAAACAAATATTTGGCAACCTCGGATGGCTTCATAAAAGCAGCTGATGGGAACAGAGAGAGAAACTAAGATGAGGTACCCAAGACCATGTCATTTCCAATCCATAATTCTGTCTTAGCAAAGTGCACAAAGATGAGGATTCAGAGATATTTATATTCATCTTATTGTACATTCTTATTTATTTATTTATATTGGAAAGTCAGACTTACAGAGAGAAGGAGAGACAAAGAGAAAAATCTTTTATTATCACTGGTTCACTTCCCAAATGACCGCAATGGCCGGAGCTGAGCTGATCTGAAGCCAGGAGCTTCTTCCAGGTCTCCCACGCGGGTGCAGGGGCCCAAGGCTTTGGGCTGTCCTCGACTGCTTTCCCAGGCCACAAGCAGGAAGCTGGATGGGAAGCGGGGCAGCCAGGATATAAACCCACACCCACATGAGATCCCAGCACATACAAGGCTTGGGTTTAGCCACTAGGCTACCACACTGAGCCCAATTATTTTAAATTCTTTTTAAAAAGTGGAAGCATTCTAAATGAGCAAGAATTAGAAAATCTATAACAAAATATCAAGATGTCGTTAGACTGTTTTGAAACAGTTTGAATGACTTAAACAGATGCTTATGAAATATTTTTTTAAAGATTTCTTTTAAAATGTCTTAATTGAAAAGGCAGATATACAGAAAGCAACAGAGACAAAAAGATCTTCCACCCACTGGTTCACTTTCTAAGTAGCGGCCAGAGCTGAGCTGATCCGAAGCCCGGAGCCAGGAGCTTCTTCTGGCTCTCCCACATGGTAGCAGGGTCCCAAGGCTTTGAGCTATCCTTGAATGCTTTCCCAGGCCACAAGCAGGGAGCTGGATGGAAAGTGGAGCCACCGGGACTTGAACCGGTGCCCATATGGGATCCCAGAGTGTGCAAGGCGCCACTAGCCTATTGCTCCAGGCCCTTAGGAATTCATTTTAAAGAAACAAAAATAGACACTTGGTTTTAAGATTGTAATTCCAACTTTTAACTAATATGTAAGTGGGTATTTAAGGAACTCAAAGAGAATAAAACCAAAATAATGCCAGGAGTCTTCTCTGAGTGATGACCCTATATAGATAATTGATGTTTTCTTTCTCATACTTTTTAAAAAAATTTTCTACAGTGTTGTATATTGTGATGTATCCTGTTCTGTTATGAAGTTAGAGGCATGAAGGAAGACCTGGGTGAACTTTGGCACAGTGGCTGCACATCCCATAATGGGGTACCTGCATTTGAGTACTGTGCGCACACACTCTGTGCTAGTTTCCTGAAGATGTGCACCCTGGGAGGCCACAGAGGAACAGCTGGTAGGCTTTTTAAAAACCAGAGTAATGGCAGTGATGGCTATAGTTGAATGTACTTAATGCCACGAAACTGTACACTTTTGAATGGTTAGAAGGACAAATTTTATGTCATGTCTTTTGCTATAATAGAAAAAGAAGTGGGGGAGCAGCAGTGTGGCGCCTCTGGCTAAGTCACCAGCTACAGCGTAGCATCCTGTAAGGGCACTGGTTCTAGGCCCAGCTGCTCCACCTCCTATCCAGGTCACGATGGTAATATGCCTGGGGAAGCATCAAAAGATGACCCAAATACTTGGACCCGTACCACCCATGTGGGAGACCTGAATTGAGTGCCTGGGTGTCACTTCTTCGTGGGGTGTTTGGATAACTCTCTGTGTGTCTCTTTCTATTTGTGCCTCTCAAATAAATAAGTACATGAAGTTTTCAAATTACACTGCTCAGATTTTAAACCCTGGAATTTTAACATTCATGGGCTGCCTATTTCTGGAATTTTCCACTGCATGGATTTGAACTGAGGCTGGTCAACGGTAACTGAAATGGTAGAAAGTGGGCCCACAGATAAGGGGAGTTTCCTAGATCCCCCTCTTCAGCTGCCCCTGGGTTTTAGGAGAATCGGTGAAAGCCAACGCAGAAGTAGCCGCTGCTACCTCCCATTGCCCAGTGGGAGTGACCAGTGTTGTTCAACAGGGTGCCAGATGCTACGTTCACCCTAGAACTGCAACGTTGACTCCCAGTGAGGAAGGGCAAAAGGCCACAGGCATTCAGGGCAAGCTAGGAAACTGGCTCTCCCCCTTTCCTAACCCTACCAGATCCCTCTCTGCCCCAGTCTCTCTCCAGCATGTTGGAGGACCTTTCCCTCTCCAAGGGTCTCGAGGCAGTTCGTGCTAAGCTACAAATCTCATGGGCTCACCGAACTGCTAGGAGCAACCCAAACTGCCTCTCTACCAGTTGTGTTATTTGTATCATTGTCATCGTTGTTACTAACGGGGGAGGGGAGGTGTATGAGACAGGTGTGAGAAGCACATCTGGATGATATTTCTTTCCCAGACACCAACTGCGGCATCATCCGTGTGGTGACCTGCTCATCGCCAGCGGCTCTGGCTTCATTTCAGCGTTGTCCTTTCTGAAGATCTCTTTATGCCTTGGCCCATAGACCGCCATCTTCACAACTGGCCGAGTCTGCCCTGTGCCTTAATGCGACCTCTTTTTGTTTCTCAGAACAAAGGCCGAGTTAGATCATGAAGCCCTGCTCAGTGGCAATCTGGCTACAGAAGCAAATTTGATCATCCTGGACATGCAGGAAAATATTATCCAGGTGAGGACCACAAACACCTGACCTGAACCTTGGGATGTGACTGTGCTTCCCGATATTTAAAGCAGAATTCTCTATTCTAAATAGGGAAAGAGGTAAATACAATTCCCAAATGGAATCGGGAGGTGGATGCTCTATAAGAGCGTCCACTTTCACATTCCAGAGAGACCCAGACGATCTTCGGGCTTCTTTGCACTGCTGCTCACTGGCAAAGAGTCAGATGCCAGTCAAACCGACCGTGGCTGGCATGCCAAGTTCATCACTGTACAGCGGGCTTAGAGTGTAGGATGAAGATCAGGACTGTTGTTTTTCTGACGGGTCAGTGGCAGTTGAGTGATGGCCACTGTTGGGAGTAGAAGTGACTTGACTAAGCGAAAGAAAACACAGCACTAAACGTGGAAAGTGATGTCTGCTTTGGTTGATGCAGAAAAGTCGTCGAGGGCCATGAAGTTGGCACCTGTGCTTTAGACGGGGTTAGTCACGTGACCCTCACATCACACCTCACATGCAGGTTCTAGTGATAGTCCCCAGAATTGCCGACGAGGAAATAATGAACACGAGTCTTCATATGTGGAGAAGACATTTATTAGACTGGATCAATACCGCTTCGTGGAAGAAATACGGGTGAAACACAAAGGAACCTTAGGTACCCACCTTCTTAGTCGTCTAAAATCAAAATAATTCTTGCAAGAAACAAACAATAAATTGGATCCTTGGTGACTTTGATATCTTGATCGATCTTCATTCAACGTGTCTTTGGGTGCGAAGTGATTTTTTGTTGCTTTTGGTGCTGCTAAGCCTGCCATAGCGGATAAATAAACAAAGCAGAAGCTTTTCTGTTTAAAAATATCACTGCCACCAAGTACCCCTTGTTGTATTAGAAAATCCTTCATTGTGTTTTGAAGGCCATAAGAAAGTGATGCCATGTGTACAAAGAAAGTCCCTTCCAAGAGCTGCAGCCCAAGATGGCGTAATTTACCGTCCAACCTCATCCAGGAGCCCCAAATTAGCCACAAATCTCCCCCCGCCAAGTCAGTTGGGAATTTTGAAACAGAGTCATTTGGGAATAGGTCTTCCACTCTCATGATTAATAGATAATACATGATAATACATCAGAACCTGAAGCTCTTCAGCCAAGAGATACAGGACGCCAGCATCCCCAAGCTCACCTGCCTGAGCGTGTGCTATGTCTTCACCTTTGCATCCCTGGCACAGAATGTGGTATCACTGATGCTGTTCTTCCATCCCTCCAGGCGAGCTCGGCTTTGGACTGCAAGGACAACCTGCTGGGAGGTGTCTTGAGGGTCCTGGTGAATTCTCTGAGCTGCGACCAGAGCACCACTTACCTGACTCACTGCTTTGCGACACTGCGCGCGCTCATTGCCAAGGTAAACAGGGGACGCTTGTTTTCTCACTCTTAATTAAGGGTGAGAGTGGACCAAAACCCACAGCACAAATGAAGCAACATTACAGCAAAGAGTGTAGGCCTTCCTGGCAGGAGAGCAGGCGCACACATCCTGGGAGAAATGTGTACGCAGAGAGGACAGCTCTCAGAATTGAAATACGTGCTAAAGCATGGAAACTTGGAAGGGCCACATGTCATGGTATAAAAGGCCAGAAGGCCTGCAAACTAATTTCCTGAGGAATGTAAATTTTTCCTTAGGTAGAAATGACCCGTATACATTATGTTTGTGCTCTTTATGGAAAGTTTCAGTTGCTGCCTTCTGTATATGGTCTTTAAGATCCAGCAAGTGGAATTCTCCTCTCCTCTCTTAGAATCAGTTTCTCTTCCTTGGTCCCCATTTGTTTCCAGACAGTGACAAAAAACAAAAAAACCAGGACTAATCCCCTTAAAGCTGTTCGTTCCCTCGTGATTGCAGTGTGTCCAACAATGCAGTCAGTGATGCAGCTGGGACCGCAGTTACGCGTTTCATAATTAAATCTTAAGTCGACTTCATCACTCAAATCCATCTTGTGACTCATGAGGCTCATTATCTTTGTGGAACAATGTCTTTGCTCTTCTGGGCTTTTTGCTTGTCCAAGCAGATGTTTGTATATTTCAGCAGGTATCCAGTCCAGAAAGTGTCGGAGTGTGCCAAGAGATGCTTAATGGGCCCTTTGTGTCTCTTGTAGTTTGGAGACTTGCTGTTCGAGGAGGAGGTGGAACAGTGCGCAGACCTGTGTCAGCGAATTCTGCACCATTGCAGCAGTAGCATGGATGTCACCCGGAGCCAGGCCTGCGCCACCCTCTACCTCCTCATGAGGTTCAGTTTTGGAGCCACCAGCGTAAGAGCTCATCCCCGGGGTGAGGTGGCGGGGGAGGTGACTCAGGAGAGGCAGAGAAAGCCAACGCAAGGCATTGGCTAAGAAGAAAACATCAGAAAGAGTTTGCAGTGTCAGAATTTACTTCTGTCTTGTAAGAAAGGGCAATTGAGTGGTAGGTTTCATGTGGGTTTGCGTCTTCAAGTGAAAGTCAAGACTTTCCACCAGCCTGTTTCAGTAGCAAATGAAACGATGTACATGTATCAATTAACAGTCACCTCTTAAAAAAAAGCAACACACAAGTGAAGGATTCAGAAGCATGTCCTCTTTCTAAGTTCTGACTCGCTGCCAGAATGACCTGTGGAAGAGAATTGAAAATGATGGTTATCATTTGTATCTGAGTAATAACGGAAATGTTGAAGTCTTTAGAAATGAGCTTTATTGCAGCACAGCACACCCTGGCTTTGGTCTGTCCAGATTCGAGAATGTCCTTTGGGAACTTGCATTTGTTATGCATCCGCTGGAGTGATGTTAAGGTTAAATGGGCCCACGGAAGAAAAGCAAGGTCTTCAGGACAGACTGGGGAGAGCATTCCTTGTGTGTGTGCAGAGGTGCAGGGGTGCTTGGAAAAGCCTGTAAGACATTCCTGAGGGATTTAGAATAGTCATATTTTTTCCGTAGACCTGGAAAGAAGGAAGAAACAGAAAGTTGCTTTTTTTCTACAGTCTTGAGTCTCAGAACCTACGGCCAGTGAGGGCTCGTTCCTCTTTGCAGTTTATTAAAGCCCCAAGAAGAGAATCTTGGCACAGGAGGCTCTAAGCTATGACTCAACTTTGTTGGAATCTTCCAGCCTTGCAGGACACAGGCAGCCCAGGCCTCAATGAAAATTTAAAGGGAGCCTGACAGATAAATGTACAAGCAATATCCATTTAACCCATTTAAACAACAGCATGAATCTTGTTCAAAGTGTGGCTCTCATTGCATTGAGAGCAAAGAAAGTGACTGAGAATGAGGTAACAGGAACTCTGAGGAGTTCCTGTGTCTGGCCCTGCTGTCTTCTTTACTTCCTGGTGGAGTGTCTTCTGCTCCTTCCATCCTTGTTGTGTCTTCTCATGCAGAACTTTGCAAGAGTGAAGATGCAGGTAACCATGTCTCTGGCATCCTTGGTGGGCAAAGCACCGGACTTTAATGAGGTGCACCTGAGAAGATCCCTGAGGACAATTCTGGCCTATTCGGAAGAGGACCTGGACATGCAGGCAACACCTTTTCCAACCCAGGTGGATGGAAGGATCTACCTTATGTCCTGAATGGGCTTGGGATAAGCTGATTGTGTGTGTGTGTGTGTGTGTGTGTGTGTGTGTGTGATTTGCAAGTATGTATTACCTGTCCAATATGCATATAAAAGGTGAAAAAAGAACCCACATCTACTACTCTCCCCAACTTCAAAATATCAAGAGTCTATTTGTGGTCTCATAACAATTAGAAGGCAATAGCAGATACTTAGTGCCAAGTGTGCAATAAGTAAATATCATGTAAGGCTAGCGAAAAGGAGCGGTTGAATTAATAAACAGTTCAATGGCTTCCAAGGCTGCAATAGGATTCAGTGGGGCAGGGTTGGAAAGGGAGGGAATTAGGAGTAGGGGAGAGAGTGAATTTTGTCTAAGGGGATCATCAGGGAACCAACTTGACTAGTATGTTCGCAGAGGCAAGGAAAGGCCAAGTGAGTTTGTAATCAAAATGAATCCTAAGGAAACTTGGCAAGATAATGAACTCTTCTGTCTCCATTGGAATGCCCACTCTAGCATGTTCCATTAACGGTTCAGGAAAAGCTTCTAACCTACTCTGGGCTAGGTTCTCAGTTGGGAATATATGAATGAATGGGTGGAGATTTCCACATGCCACTAATCCAGGAATGCTACTGGTATACCATCTCTCCTCCCCTCCCCAGCAACATTGCATCCTCACTCAGAGGACCACTTATCTTGACTTCCGCCATTTTCTCTTGACTATGTCACCATTCGTGCAGATATTTTTAGCAACAAGCCAAGCAAATGTAGAATGCTTAATGGAGGTCATTAGAGCCTTCATCCAACAAAAAGACATTTTAGGAGCCCTGAAAGGTGCAAAAGGAGAAGGGAGATAGACTGATAGTCAATATCTGAGCCACCTGCCGGGGTCAGTAAATCAAGCCATCCATTGCTGTGCTGCACACTCCCTTAGTCTCTTTGCCTTCGCCATTAAGAACAAGAATAAAAGGTCGGAAAGCTCCGAAGAGCTGGGAAGATCCAAGCAGCCTCTAAGACACAGGACCCAGCATGAGATCCTCACCTGTCTGAAATCTCAGTGTGCAGTTTAGAACTTTGCAGATTACAAATACCTGAAGTTAGTATAAACTAGTTGTTGGGAAGCAAGACAACATGAAGGTTCAGGGCTAATTCTCGCGTCTGGAGGACTGGCTCACCTCTGCGCTCCAGATTCCCATGGGATCGGAAAGGCCAAAGTCATGGGGAATCCAACCTTTCCCGGGCTTCCCCTTGCACGCCCAGCGTTGCCTTCCTGGAGGGCAAAGCCCAGGTGACTCAGGTGCTTGCCCCCTTCACAGGTGGAGGAACTCCTGTGCAATCTCAATAGCATCTTATACGACACCGTGAAGATGAGGGAGTTTCAGGAGGACCCTGAGATGCTTATGGACCTCATGTACAGGTAACACTCTACTGGTCCCCCCCTCCTGGGTCACAGGGAGCCGACCCTGACTGGAGAGTTCTTGCTGATGTAATTCTCCCAGGTAGCGTGACTCACTGTTCTGGATGACATCCAGATAGTACTGATGGAAACTCAGTATTCAGATGGATTAATGTCTATATATATGTTTGCAGGCAAAAAAAAAAAAAAATCTCCCTAATTTAGGGTGAGATAGCACTGTGCTCTACTTCACATACGAAAGAATGGCCAACTGCTCTGTGAATTATTCCCCATGTGGTTTTATTGAAGTTGTGCATATTCAGATATCCATAGTTTTTTTTTTTTAAGATTTATTTTATTTTCACTGGAAAGGCAGATATACAGAGAGGAGAGACAGAGAGGAAGATTTTCTGTCTGATGATTCACTCCCCAAGTGAGCGCAATGGCCGATGCTATGCCGATCTGAAGCCAGGAGCCTCTTCTGGGTCTCCCACGCGGGTGCAGGGTCCCAAGGCTTTAGGCCGTCCTCGACTGCTTTCCCAGGCCACAGGCAGGGAGCTGGACAGGAAGAGGGGCTGCCGGGATTAGAACCGGCGCCCACATGAGATCCCGGGCGTGCAAGGCGAGGACCCCAACCACGGCACCATCGCGTAGGGCCCTCCATACAGTTTTAAAACTTAGCCTTTCATACTCATTTGGGGGATTGCCACATCACGCGAAGGGTAATATTTTTGCATTCTGGTCTTCTATCGTGACAAAGAAAAGAAAAGGAAGAAAAGATTGCATGCAATCCATTCAGACAGATATCATTTGGTCACGTCCTTTTCTCCCCATTTCTTGGGGCTCAGTACACCCGAGACATAAAATAGAAATCATCAGACTAAGAAATATTCACCTTTTCTTTGATCCTAAAGTTACAGGCAAAATCTCAGGGATGGGGTGTTTGGGTATAACACAGGACAGCGGGGTGCGGGGGGTCGGCAGTAGGTGGGAATAACAGACAGTGTGAAGACCAGTGTAAGATCCACCAGTTTGCCTTGAAACTCTCTCCCAATGCGTCTCCAGAATCGCCAAGAGCTACCAGACGTCTCCTGACCTACGGCTGACCTGGCTCCAGAACATGGCGGAGAAACACACGAAGAAAAAATGCTACACCGAGGCTGCCATGTGCCTGGTGCACGCGGCCGCGCTCGTGGCCGAGTACCTGAGCATGTTAGAGGACCACAGCTACCTGCCTGTGGGCAGCGTCAGCTTTCAGGTGAGTGCAGCTGCAGCTTCTCCCTTGGAGCAGTGCTTCTCAACTGGGAACGTGTTTACCCCCCCAACCCAGGGCATTTGACCACACGGCGGAAGGTGGGAACCACTCGTGTCTATCAGGTAGACACCAGGGTTAACGGGTAAGCATTCCACAAAGCACAGGCATGCTCCCTCTAGCAAGAATTATCTGGTCCTGGTAGAGGCAAGATTAAAAACCATTGCCTCCATGTGTTACGTCTACCTCTTCTAATGGCTTTATTCTTTTTATTATTGTTGTTTGCAATGTTACCTGGGGTTGACAGGCACTTTAGTAGATATTTCTCACACCTTCACTTGGGTGAGCTCATTTGATCTTCCGTATAACTCTGCAAAGCCGGTGCCTAGGGAAGACCCCCATAAGCCCTACATCACAAAAAGACTGAGAGAATGACTTTTTTTTCCTGAAGATTTTTTTAAAGTCCTCCACCAAGATTTATAGTGGGCACCACATACTGACATGTGTACTGTGAAAGCATTTGATTTCCCTCATGAAATCATCTTTTGGATTCCATTTCCCAGCTCTCTGTAGGGTTCCAATTGATCTGAGAGTTCCAAGGAACAACAAATCAGGGCTTCCATAGGATCAGCTGACAATTACCCACACTGGATGGGGGAAATTGTAGGCCGGGCCTAAACCTTCACTCCAAATGGTGTGTTCAGAACCACCTGGACAGTGTTTCCCGAGTCTGAATGCTGTCCTCAGAGGGAAGCCAACAGTGGCATCAAGACTTTTTCTGAAAAGACAGAATCTGGAGAGATGACAATGGGACCAAAATCACCATGGTGGTAGAGCTTTTTCGAGCCCAACGCAGAGTCCTTTGCAAGGCTTTGTGATTCTTATTTGAACTAACATGGCACTGTCGAAGTTCAGGCCATATCGTCGCTTCTGATTCAGCTGCATCCTGGGTAACAGGTGATGCCTCGAGTCCTTGGGTCCCGTTACCCACAGGAGAGATCCAAATGAAATTCTACGTTCCTGGCTTCAGTCTGGCCGAGCCGTGCTGTTGCAGGCGTGTGGGAAGTGAACCAGGGAATGAAGGATTCTCTTTCTCTTTTTCTGTGTGTGTCTGTCTCTCTGTCTCTCCCCCTCCCCAAACCACTGGGCCTTTCAAACAAGTAAAAGTAATTTTTTTTTTAAAAAAAGAGAGAGAGCTACAGAATGATGTCGATGAGTTCTTATTTCTCTCGAATGAGACACCAGTCGAAAATGCTTGCTTGCCAGTGGCAGAATACCCAGCCCAGGCTGCTCTAAGGTGGAGATGGAATTTACTACCTGCACACCAAGTGCTGTCACCACTTCCTGTCTCTGCTTGGTGTCGCCATCTTCATTTTTCACGGGCTCCCCGCATGGAACAAGATTTCAGCTTACAACTCCACATTCAGGTTTAAGGGAACAGACATGCCTCATGTCCAGCAGATACAGAGAAAGGGTTCAATGTATCTTACAGTTCCATGAATCAGATGCTCATCCCCAAGCCAATCGTAACTCCCAGAGGAGTGAAACGCTCTGATTGGCTGAGCCAGAGGAGTGGAAACGCTCTGATTGGCTGAGCCAGAGGAGTGAAACGCTTTGATTGGCTGAGCCGGAGTCACGGGCCTGCATTTGGAGTTATGCAAAGTTTCCCGAAAGAAAATCAGGATGTTTTATGTTAGAGAAGAAGTGGGGAATTCTGCGCGGCCTTGATGGTTGTCCCCTGCTGTGTTGTTTTTTGTTTTTGTTTTTGTTTTTGTTTTTGTTTTGTAGTTCTGCTTCTTGCTTTAGTTTTCAGCCTTGTTTTGCTTCAATAAAATTGAATTTTATACAAGACTTATTAACTAGAGATAAATAACTCTGTACAAGGAGAATGACTCCAGGGTGGCTACATCCCAAGAAGCTGAGATCACTGAATTTCTGTACCCCAGCGTGCAACATTTCACAGCCTCCCTGGTTCTGAAGCCAGAAAGGTTTGCCAAAAAATGCTGACTATCGCTAGTCAAGCTCTGTAGCTTCAAGTCTCTTTCTCCACATATGGCAAACTGCCTGCAATGTAGTCTCCAGAGTTACTAAACTTTTTTTTTCATTGAAAGAAATGTAATGTCTTCTATTTTCTCCAATACAGAAGCATCATAATAGGGCAAGTTTGGGAGAAACTGTGCTGTAAAAATACATTGAGAATTCAATGCCTGTATTTCTTACTTCATAAAGATTGATCTTTTTTGCTTGTAAGTTGGACAGAGAGTCCTTCAATCCACTGGTTCACTCACCGGATGGCCACAATGGCCAGGGATGGGTCAGCCAAAACCAGAATCCAGGATCTCCCTCATGGGTGTCAGGGCCTAAATGCTTGCATCATTTCCCCCTGATTTTCCCAGGCCACTAACAGGAAGCAGAGTTGGGAGCACCTATGTGGGGTGCTGACCTTGCAAGCTGCAGCTTTGCTTGCTATGCCACAGCACCAGCCCCTCCGCTCGCATTCCAAACACTGCCTTACAATACTGGATGCAAGGGCTGTCAACCAGCTGCTCACTGAACCTAAGGCTGAGTCACGTTATCTTACTAGACGGCCAGAAAAACATCCAGCTTTTCTACCGCATGCCAGATCTGGTCAATCGATTGCTGTGTGGTGAGAACTCTGAGACTGTATCTAAGCTATGAAGGAAAGAGTGTTAAACTCGATTAGTGATGCCTGCCTTGAGCTCCACAATAGGAGGGAGTAGTATGTGTTTGCAGTCCCTCCGCCAGGAAAGTTTTTCATTTCTTCTGTGTTCCAAATGAATTTCTTTCATAGCTTTGAACCAAGAATGACTCTTCACCTGGCAAGAGGGCAAGTCATGCTCAGACCCAGAGATAGGGTAAAGGCGAGAGAGACAAGTTGCCAAGTCAAAGTCAGGCAAGTCCAGGACCACACTGCCATGGCTCAGCTGAGTCCTTGTAGTCACCATACTTCTGATGGGATCTCTTCATTCTATCGTTTATGTAAAAGAAGAGTGTAGAAACAGCAGGGTCAGGAAAAGTAACTGCCACGGTGCTATAAAAGTTTCCTTAAAGAAGATGCTATTGTCGTTGGCTATTGTATGTAATGGCTACTTGTCCGAATCAAGGCAGCGGTGGCAAAGCACAAGGTAGTGCCAACGTCCGCCTTGGGAATCCAGGCCCAGCTGGCAGTCTGTAGGGCTGTGGCCCTCAAATTACTCAGCTGTCATGACAGTGATGGCCTTTGCCCACATCCTCCTCAGGATTAAGAACTCATGAGATCGCAAGACCCAAACGAACTCAAGACCCATCGCTGAGTATACAATGGCAGAAGGGCGTTGGTTTCCGTGTCCCCACATTCTGGGCTCCTGTAAACTCTTCTTAGTACAGCTCTCCCATCCTCAGCACTTATCCTGTACTCTCTTGCAGAATATCTCCTCCAACGTGCTGGAGGAGTCAGCGGTGTCCGATGACACTCTGTCACCAGATGAGGACGGGGTGTGTTCTGGGCGCTACTTCACCGAGAGCGGCCTGGTGGGGCTCCTGGAGCAGGCAGCGGAGCTCTTCAGCACGGTCAGTACCCAGAGGGCATCCCGCAGCTGCAAAGGACACGCCCTGACAGCCCCATCCCTGCCGCTCAACACACACCAAGGTCCTGCAAGGCAAGGGAAGGGCCCTCGGGGGTCAGGTCAACGGCCCAGGGAGGGCTCCGATGTCCATAGATTGCACCTGCTGTGGCTGGAAAGGATGGTTCATTGCTGTAACACTCTGGTCTTTGGCACAGGCTTATGGACTGGGTAGCAACTTCATGGAATTATTTCCATTTAACAGGGGCGGGCAGTAAGATGGAGAGGCGAAGTGGTTTGGCTAGGGTTAGGCAATAACTGGTGAGGTAAGTTCTCCCTTCTTCCCCTCTAAGACACGATTGAGAGGGGAGGGCGGGAGTGCTTGGGTAATGCCCTCCCCCGAACAACGAAGTGGTCCTGGGAGCAGTATTCACTGGGACCAGCTCAGAGAAATGTGGGGGCAGAAACCTCTGACCTGCAACTGAACACTCCCAATAGAAGAGAGATAGACAGCGGATGGCACTGCCATCCTGGACAAGTGAGAGAGTCGGCCATCCATTTTCATTTTAGCAACTTCCCTCCCAAATTTCAAACCAAGTCAGTGTACACACTACTTCACTCTAGCCGGCTCATCTCACTTTGTTTTCTTCCCTACAGTCTTTCTTTTCAACTTCTCATTCCCAAGTTCCCTCCCTGTACCATCTGTTGTAGTTTGTTGTTTTAATGAGCTTTTTTTCTTTTTCCTGCCTTCTCTTTCAGGAGTCAGAAAAAGCTTGAATTCTTTTTGGTTTCCCAAAAATCCAAGAAAATGAGTTAGAATCCCTGTAGAATTCCTTTAGAAGGCATCCAGTAGAATGCCTTTGGCATTGCTGTTAGCCCTTGCTGCCCCCATCTGCCCCTGCTTTTCCTCCATGCAACAGCGTCTCCCTTCTTCGCACCACCATAAGGCCACTGCCCAGCTGGGAGTCTAACCCAGTTTGAACGCTGTGGCCTTCCCAGCGACGCTGGTGTGTCACTCGTGCCCTGTCAAATGCAATGTGGTGTGCCAGTAAACCCATCCTCCTGTGACTGTGAGCTGCTCTTCTGTTTCCAGTGGATTCAATCCCCCCTCCATTTTCCTCTTGCCTTGCCAAGGGAGGCCTGTATGAGACGGTGAATGAGGTCTACAAGCTGGTCATCCCCATCCTGGAAGCGCACCGCGACTTCCGGAAGCTGACCTGCACGCACGACAAGCTGCAGAAGGCCTTCGACAACATCCTCAGCAAGGTAGCTGGCTAGCATGCCCGCAGTACCCGCGACCTCACCCCTGCTCTGTGCTGGAGGTGCTCATCGCACTCCCCCCGCTCAGCAGTGGCTCACTCGGAGCGTTGTATCACTACAGCTTTCACCTGTCACACGTAGAAGGGCTGGCGAAGGACGGAGTACCAGAACTCAGTATAAGAGAAGGCAGCTTGAATTACCTGATAACCTGGAAAGATGAGACCCTTCACATCAATGGCATCCCTGAAATCTTGCATGGGCTTTTTCTGAGATAGTACCATAGCTCATTCCATAAACATCAATTTTTTAAAAAGCTGTCTACATCAGCCGTGGGAATAAAGTGCTTTGTAACAGAATAAAAGCCTCTGACGCGTCACTGCCCCGTGGCGCCTCTGGAGCCCCACAGCTAAGGCGAGGTTTTCTCGTTTTGTCCATCAGGATCACAAGAGAATGTTTGGAACCTACTTCCGAGTCGGTTTCTACGGATCCAAATTTGGGGATCTGGACGAACAGGAATTTGTTTACAAAGAGCCTGCAATTACCAAGCTACCCGAGATCTCACATCGACTAGAGGTAAGAAAAGTAATTCCATATTGCTTGGCACCATGCACTTCACAAAAAAAAAAAAAGCAAAAAAACAGATAACAATGGTTATTACAAAAGAAAAATCCCCATTTCATCCTTTGATAATGTGAAGGTAATGTGAGCTCATGAGACAAAGCTAGATTTGGATCATTTTCTGTTGGAATCTTGTGTGGTGAATATTTTCAAGTATGTGCAAAATCAATGTCCTGTGCTTCCTTATAATTCTTTCCAAATGTTAACAGTAAGATTCTTATGCTTATGTTGATAGGGATTTTTTTTTTTTTAGTTGTAAGGCTCTCATCTTGATTTCCAAGTGGTTTGGACAGATTACTGACCTCTCCCCCACCACCCCACCACCCCCCCGGTGATGGTGTGGCCATCCTTGGGGTGTCGTTGACAGCACATTCCATTCCCATGCACACATACTTGACGGCTGTGGGCTGTAACCAGCCCTGCTTCAACTTGCCGCCTACCTTAGTCTGAAACACAACAGGAGAGAGGAGCATGTCCTTGGAAGAAAGGCTGAAAAGGCAGGGAGAAAGAGATGCAACGTAGAGAGAAGTCAGACGAAAAGAAATCACATCGAGAGGACCAAGCGCTTAGAACTCAGAAAGAAAGCCAAGAGGTGCCCCAAAACAGAACCCTCCAGGGCTGAGTCACAGGGGGAGCCCCAAACCTGCCAGTGACCTCTGGAGGTTTTCCTTGCTGCTGTTCAGAATGAGCACCCTCTTACGGCTATAAAGCTTGAAACACTTGCAATGCCTCATTGCTCCTTGCACCAGGCACGCCTGCCAACTAAGACAGGGCTCTTCTATGTTGAATTACTCAAAGAAGCTTTGTCCCGGGTGGCTGGGTGACTCGCCCAAAGTGTTCAGTTCTGTAAAGGAGCTAGGGATGGACTCCAGGCCCCTTTGGGCTCCTCATGATATTTCCCTTACTCAGAAACAGAGGCCCGTGTTTTGTCTTCTTGTGCACCTGTTGTGGGACTCCTGGTGACCTTCATGTTCCCAGGACCCTAAAGGTGAGAACTCCATAGCACGGTGTCCATGGAGACGCCTCCGGAAATGAGCTGCTATTGGTCAATGAGAGAGCAGGCTCACATACCGTGGGAAGGCATAGGTTAGAGGACAGCGCTGCGCTTTCTTGCATTTTTATTTATGTCTCAGGAAATGCTGAACTTGGCTCGTTTGCTAGGAGGAGCTCTTGAGAATCAATGAGCAAAGTCTACCATGTCCTTCCCCAAACCTCTTCTCTTTTGGAGGAGACAAAGAATGGCATGCTTAAAAAAAAAATAACCTTTCTGAACGTCTGGCTCTTCTTCCCTAGGCATTTTACAGCCAGTGTTTCGGTGCGGAATTTGTAGAAGTGATAAAAGACTCCACTCCTGTGGACAAAACCAAGTTGGACCCTAATAAGGTATGGAGTGGGGTCAGAGGTGGGGGGGACTGACAAAAATTACATTCCCTCCTCTGTCTGAACTCTCCGGGTCATTTAAATACAACCAAACATTCTGTCTAGGGCTCAACTACTAATTGATCATGCTAGTCCTTACGGAAAACATCCTGAAAGGCAGGAATTATAATGAAAGTTATCATTTATTAAGTGCCAACTATAAGCCTGGCAATCACTCCAGGCGTCAATTCATTTTGTCATCCAACAGTCACTGCAAGTTGTTTTCTTTCTTCTTCTTTACGGGTTAGAAAAGTAGGGCATGGAAAGATGAATCAGAGGCAGGTGTTGGGCCTAGCAATGAAGAGGCCAGTTAGGAAGCTGCATCCCGTATGGGATTTAATATTAAGCTCTGGCTCCTTGATAATGTAGTTCCTAGGAGGTGATGACTCAAGTTGGGTCCCGGCCACTCACATGGGTCCAGTTCCCAGTTCATGCCTCTGTCCCAGACCAGCTCAAGCCATGGTAGAGAGTTGGAGAATGCGAATAAGGGTTCTATCTGTCTAGCTCTTTCTGTCTCTCTACCTATTAAATTATTATATATATATATTTTTAAGACAGACTGACCAACTTTCTGAAGCCATGCAAGTAACCTGACCAGTTCTCAAACTTGGGGGGAGCAGATCTGTCATCTCTAAATGTGTACTGTTACTGCTCTTAACCCTTTTTTTCTGTAACACCCTTCAACTCCAAATGGGAAAGCATCTTTCAAAGCTTCAGGGAGCAGCGCTGTGGCACAGCAGTTCTTCCAGCTGCCACTCAGGCAGCCATATGCCGTCTCAGAGAACTGTTCAGCTTGTGACCCAGCTCATGTTACATGCATCTAGGAGGCAGGAGGCGATAGCTCACGTACTTAAATTCTTTTTTTTAAAGATTTATTTTTATTATTTTTCATTGGAAAGGCGGATATACAGAGAGGAGAGACAGAGAGGAAGATCTTCCGTCCGATGATTCACTCCCCAAGTGAGCGCAACAGGTCGATACTATGCCGATCTGAAGCCAGGAGCCTCTTCCGGGTCTCCCACGCGGGTGCAGGGTCCCAAAGCTTTGGGCCGTCCTCGACTGCTTTCCCAGGCCACAGGCAGGGAGCTGGAAGGGAAGCAGGGCTGCCGGGATTAGAACCGGCGCCCATATGGGATCCCGGGCGTGCAAGGCGAGGACCTTTAACCACTTGCGCCACCGCGCTGGGCCCTCACGTACTTAAATTCTTTAGCCACTCACATGGGAGACCCAGTTGGAGTTGCTGTCTTCTGGCTTTGGCGTACCCAGCTCTAGCTCTTACAGCCATTTGGGGAATGAACCAGCAGATGAAAGATCTCTGTGTGTGTGTGTGTGTGTGTGTGTGTGTGTGTGTGTGTGTGTGTCAGTCATTCTGCCTTTCACATAATCAACCTCTGTTAAAGGTACAAATGGCTCACAGCCAGCACTGGGTGACACTCCTCTTTGGGCTGCAGGTGTTTCTTGCGGTCAAGTGCAGGTTGCTGTGCTGCTAGGGAATGATCAAAGGACCTGGGCTTTCGTTTCATCCCAGACAGGCCACTGCTTACATGCTAACCCCTGCAGTCAGCATCAGAGTCCTCACTGACCACGTGCTCTCTATGGCCAAGGCTGTGCAGAGCTGAAGCTGGGAGCCAGGAGCTCCCATGGGTGACAGGAACCCCACTTCGGAGCCATCACCACTGCTTCCAAGAGGCCACATTACCAGGAAGCTGGCATCAGGCACTCAGAAATGGGACTGGAGTATGCCAGCCAGTCTGCAGCTTTAACAGCTTAACCCTTAACATCCACCCAGCCAGTTTGGAAGATGTTTGTGGGCCCACTGACAGTTGTCTCATTAACATGATAAAAACATGCCCATCAGACAAGTTTCAGAAGCTGTGTGCCAAGACACAGGAATAAGACAGATGTGTTGTACTGCAGGGCGATACTTGCCTGCCCAGCCCATCTCACGGACCAGGTGTGCCCATCTCTTGTGCTTCCAGCTTCTCCAGTGCACACCCTGGGCACCAGAAGAGGATGGCTGGCGTACGTAGGTCCCTGCTACCCACCTTGGAGAGTTGAGTTGAGTGTTGGGCTCCTGGCTTTAACCTGGCTTAGCCCCAACAGTCACAGGCATTGAAAGAGTAAATTGGCAGATCTTTGTATTTGTCACTGTTGCTCTGCTTTTCAAGTAAAATGAGAACTGAATGATAAAGTTAAAATTGGTGAGATTATTTTAGCACACACAAAAAAACTTCTGGTATAAAAAACTGTTTTTTCCATAATACATGCAAAATACAAACTATGAGAAAAGTTTGTATAGACTCCAAAGTGTTTTCTCTTTTACCCTAAACTTGATTTTTTTTTAATTATTTATTTTAAAAGCAAAGAAATTGAGAAGGGGAGAGAGAGTTCCCCTTGGTTCACTTCATTGGTTCACTTCCCCCAAACGCCTGCAGAGGCCGGAGCTGGAGCAGGTGGAATCCTGGAGTCTTCCTAAGTGCTCACACCTAGCTATGTGGACCCTGATTGTCTTCCAGAGAGTACGCTAGCAAGGAGCTCGAGTTACGGCTGCATCTTAACACTGCACCGAATACCTGCTTCTAAACTCATCATTTCCCTTCCGATTTCCCACCAGCTCTCTGAAGTACCCTACTTGGGAAGCTCCCATCCTGTTTCCTTAAAGAGGCAGCCCTTTGGGCATCTCCCTAGGAACGCGTTAGTGGCAGCGGCGCCCCATCCTTGTAAGCGCTCGCACATGTTCAGTTTTCTTCATTTGATCTCCCTGGGAACTCAGTTTACAGACCCAGGCTTCCCTTGCGTTCCCTGCCCTGCCCAGAGGGTCAGCTTTTCTCTCCTTCTCCCCCACCGCCCTTCACCAGCCCAGGGCGGAGTCTGTTTCCTCCGTGTCATTGGCACTGGGGGCTTCCGGAATCCAGCGAGGAAGTTGCCGAGAAACTTATGCTCGCCCACCCTGCAGGCCTACATCCAGATCACCTTTGTGGAGCCCTATTTCGACGAGTACGAGATGAAAGACAGGGTGACACACTTTGAGAAGAACTTCAACCTGCGGCGGTTCATGTTCACCACTCCCTTCACGCTGGAGGGCCGGCCCCGTGGGGAGCTGCACGAACAGCACAGGAGGAACACGGTGCTCACCACCACGCACGCCTTCCCCTACGTCAAGACCCGCATCCGCGTCATGCACAAGGAGGAGGTAAGGGGCTCCCCCCGAGTGCGGCCAAGGGCGGCTTCCCAGGAGGGTCTGCGGTTCTCAGCTCTTCTTGGGGCAGACGACACATACGAATTGTAATCACCGTGGTTATGCTCTGCTCTCGCTGGGCATCCCACGCGGGCAGCTGCATGTGGTATTCCATAGCACAATTTTGTTCCTAACTTTCTTTCTTTGAGAGGCAGAGACGCCCAGACGTGTGGACAGGTCCCTCCTCACAACTGGTTAATTGCCCACAGCAGCCACAGATGGGCTGGGGTCATAGTCAGGAGACTGGAATGCAGTCCAAATCTCTCATATGGATGTTGAGGTCCAATACTTGAACCTCCCAGGGAGCCATTGGCAGGAAGCTGGATCGAGACTCCATTATGGATTGCAAATATGTCAGGATCAAGCTTAACCACCATGTCCAGCACCTGCATATATATATATATATATATATTTTTTTTTTTAAACAAATTAGGAGCTAGTGCTGTGGCCCTGCAGGTTAGACAGCTGCCTGGGTTGCCTAGGTTTGAGTCCCAGCTCCACTTCTGATCCAGCTTCCTGCTCATGTACTATAGATAACTGCTGAAGCACTCAGAATTCCTGCCACCCACATGGGACAACAGGGTTGTGTTTCTTTTGCCTGGCTCAGCGCTGGCTGTTGTAGCCATTTGAGAAGTAAGTCAACAGATGAAGGTTGGCTGTCCATCTCTGGTTCTCTCCGTCACTCTAATCAAAACATAAACCAGGAATATTAAAACGAGACATTTGACTTTGCCATCATTCCCTTGAAAATATATCGCAGTATTTCCTTTGTTCATATATTGCATTGGAGATGATAAATCATCCAGAAATGATTGACATGAATAGGAAGAAAGAAATAGGTTATATGCAAATATCGTGCCACTTTATAGAAGAGTCTGGAGCATCCATACTTGGGAGGCCATGGAGGACCCTGGAGTCAGTTCCCCACAGCTGCTAAGGGATAGCTGTCTTGAAGAGCCCCTAGGTGGTTCGGGTATAGTTGTGTTAATAAAGTCACACTATGCCCTAGAAAGCTGGCTTCCAGTTCCAGCTCCCTTCTGTCACTTTGCATGAGCCAAGTTGGTGTTTTCTGCCGACACATTGGCAAGAAAGACCACTATGTGGAGTAGAAGCCGTTTGCTCCATCTTTGTCAGACTCTCCTGGAAAGTCTCCAGTCATAGGATTGTTGAGAATTACACTGGCCACAAGCAGTTTTATCTTTCTTGAAAGTACATCCGTGTGTATATTTCTGTGTCATCCTTTCTACACAAGACCACAAGTTCTTCTGCGACTGTGGAGTGGCAGGTTACAATTCAGCATCGTCTCAGTTGCATCAACCACACTAAAATGCACTCCAGACAGCAGAAGGAGAGCTAAACGGTCCCTCCAAGCAACAACAGGACAGAAAGCTTCTTTATTTTTTACCATTCCTCCCTTCTTCTCCTTTTACAATTCCCTTGGACACATCTAATATGACAGGAATTTTTATAGCGACTCACTTTCATAACGTCTTGCCAAGCATTCAGCTTGGCTTTCATAACAAACAACTTTCTTTCCACACCCACAGTTCATCAGTGTGCGTATTCTTTAATTAGATTAGATCATGAAAACAACAAGTGGAACAGGCAGGATCAAGTTGGCAAGTAAACTGAGGGCTTGTGAATGTGCGGATTCCCTGCTCAGGAATAAAAAGGAACAGAGATGACTGCAGAATCACCCACCAGCCAGTGTTCAGGGACAGACCTGAAAAGGACAAAGCAAGTCTGGGATGGGGAGCCGTCACTGGGGTGTTGCTTGCATAGGCATCTGCTGTATTTCTTACTCTGTTGGACTCCTCAACACGAGACCTTCTGGGCACAGCACAGAAAGAAATATACCTTCCCCAAAGGTATTCTCACAGTTTTCCTTGGTCGGCTGTGTCTTTCTGAGTGCCACGTGTTGAGTACATGCAATCGTGGGAGTGTTAGGAGCAGGGGCTGTGACTGGTCCAGACCCCCCTCACACACACCCTGGCACACACGGACATCTTCTCCCTGTATCTTCACATCATCTTCTCATTGAACTAGACTCCACCGTAATGCAGTCCATTTGACTTGATCCCCTTGGTGAAGATCCATCTCCACATGAGGACTGAGAGGGTGGACCTCAGCACAAGGATTCAGGGAGGATACAGTTTGACCCATAAGATGCAAGAGGGGTCCTACCCCAAACAACAGAACTGAGCAACTCGCGGGGCCTTCGTCAGCATCCCATTTGTCTGGAATTCACCTACGGAGTGTGGGGGAGGGATTGGAGAGGACACGGGCGAGGGCTGGAAGCTTGGTGTTCTGCTGGGGAGGAAAGTCAGGAGTGCCGTGCTTTTCCAGTATAAGTCAAGTAACCCGCTCAGCAATGGGGGGAATCCTAACAGTGTAAAGCACAGTATGGGTTCTGAAGGTATGCATAATCATGATCGAATCATAGTCTCCCTTCTTAGTACCTGTGCCATTCTGTGGCGCTCACATGACCTCGCAAATCCCCCTTTGACTATTACATGAAAAGAGCATATTAGGGGATGTTTCAAGGAACAAATGCTGAGTGTAGGCAAACCTTATGGCATATACCAAGTGCACAAGCAACGTTAGGCCATTCCTTCTTAACCTAGAGACAGGATTCTGCATTACACTGATGGTCCTTCCTTAGCTGCTGCTTTAAAGCCAGGTGCCCACACTGTCCCCATGAAGATCTGGCCGTGGCCTGGGAGTCCAGTCCATGATGACTTCCTTGCCTTGTTCTCTGTCCCACATTCAGTTTGTTTTGACACCAATTGAAGTCGCCATTGAAGATATGAAGAAGAAAACCCTTCAGCTGGCGGTTGCCGTTAACCAGGAGCCCCCTGATGCGAAGATGCTACAGATGGTACTGCAAGGCTCTGTAGGCGCCACAGTGAACCAGGTGAGGCTGGCTTTAGGACCCAGAGCCAGGGTCCTGTGGCAGAGCGCTGGATCATGCGCAGTATTAGGAAAGTCGTGGGAGGGTTTGGCTGGTGCTAAGACTAATCTAAGAATGCCCGTAAGAGAAAGGGGAGGGGTCCAGCCAGTGGGTGGTCACCAGTGAACCCTGCACACAAGGCCCTTGGCAATCAGTAATGACTCAGCTGCCTGAGCCACTTCAGTCTATAGTGCATTTCACACCTGTTGGAATCCTAACAAGCATGGCATGAAACTAAACCAGTCTAAGTCAGAGAGAGGTGGTAGCCTTGTTCTCTCTGAGCAGAGCACCTCCTTCGTTTCAGGTTTAGATCTGCTCTTATCCTTACTTCCACACTCAGAAATTCAGTGCGCATCATGACTGCTTCCTGGCTTAGCACAGCTAGACGCCTGGAGTCCACTGAGCGCCCATCAGGGGGTAAAATAGCAGAGGGGGAAAATGGGCAAGGCATGCCAAGATCGGAAGTTGGAAGGCTGTGGTGCTTTGTTAAGTGTCGCTCCCTGGATGACAATGGAAGCCTGGGAAGTCCACAGCCGTGGCCTGTGTGTGTGTGTGTGTGTGTGTGTGTGTGTGTGTGTGTGTGTGATGGCTAGCTCTGCCTGCAGGCAGCAGGAACGTAAAGTGGTGCTCACCACTGGGACAGTAAGTGGACAAACCCCACGCCTCTAGTGTGGATGTGTGATCTTCGGAAACGGAGGAGAAAAGCTGTTAGGAACTGTATTGAAGAACATCCAGGTGTGTTTGTCAATATTCCTCTGAAATTCCAGACTGCTCCCAAGGAATCATCTTCCTGAAAGTTGAAGACTTTCCGTGAATTTTTAGTTGGGTCCAATCAGATGCGAAATTAAACATTCAATCAGAGTAGAAGGCATTTAGACATTCTCTCCCAAATCATTGAGTGTTTTTTTTTTCTAAGATCAGTACTGGTTTTTGTCTGTTTGTTTATTTTTGTCTTGTTTTGTTTTTGGTTTTTGTTTTGTTTTGTTTTTACTTCTTCCACTAGGGACCATTGGAAGTTGCCCAAGTGTTCTTGGCCGAAATTCCAGCCGACCCAAAGCTCTATCGACATCACAACAAGCTGAGATTATGCTTCAAGGAATTCATAATGCGGTAAGAAAGGGGAAAAGTTGGGAACTTCAGAGGAGCAGTGGCTCTCAAAATGGGGTGCCCAGACCAGCAGCCGCAGGAACTTTCTAGAAGACAACATCTCAGGCACCACCTAGATCCACTGAGTTAGGTCCTTTCGGGGAGGGCCCAGCAGGCTGCGTTTTAACAAGCCTTCCACGCGTGACTCTGATGTGGCTGATGTCTGGAAACCATGGCAGCAGAGCAGGAATGCTATGCTGTTCGTAAGTCACCGGCAACTCAACTGTAAAGGCGTGTAATGTCTGACTCACATCACCAAACAGGGGGCAGCCTCGTGCTTGAATTACCGGAGAGGAAGTGGAGGTTACGAGACAGGAAGCGATTTTACTGAACTGAGCTGATTTGACTCCAGGAGCCTCCTCTGAGTCTCCCACACGGATGCAGGGTCCCTTGGGCCTTGGGCCGTCCTCTGCTGCCTTCCCAGGCCACAAGCAGGGAGTTGGATGGAAAAGTGGAGCAGCCGGGACACGAACTGGCTCCCATATGGAATCCCGACACTTACTTGCAAGGTCAGGATTTAGTCATGGAGCTGGGCAGAAAGAGTTGACTTTTGGGGCAGATAGCTCAGCCTGGGAAGGAGACAGGCCTCTGGGCCAGGTAATGCAAAAAAGAGGCGCATGGGAACTCCATGGTCCTGGAGAGAGGTGATGGCATTTTGCCTGTAAGACAGCAACCTCAGAACAGTATGTCCTGCCTTCCTTCTCATCCAGAACCTCAGAGCGACGTCTAAGGCTCATTCCCATTTGGCTCATGGGTAAAAGGCCAATGCTGAAATTTACCAGGGCAAGTGTTGTGGTGCAGCCCATTAAGCTGCCGTTTGGAATGCCCACAGCCTGTGCCTGGCTGCCTGGTTCAAGTCCCACATTTTATGAGAGCCCCTCAAATATATGCCCACACATTGAATAGTGTTCCAATGTTTCCTACATTTGCTAGCAATCCCAACATTACAAAAAAAAAAAAAAAAAAAAGTGAGGGGATGCTGGGGGGGGGGGAGTTTCTTCAATATCTGTGTAACAGAAAGAAAACTGTAGAAGAGGGTTTTGTGGGGTTTTTTTTTTTTTTTTTTGATCCATTTGTTGTTTGTGGATTTTCATTTTTTCACTCAACACGGTCGCTTTGGATGCCCCAGGCAGGCGGTTGGAGGCGTGTTCCTGGGTTCTTGATTCCAGGCCGGGACCAGGGTGCGGATACACCGCCCCGCCACGCAGTATCGGCTCAGCACTCTAAGGCCACTGCTAAGGTAGAGGAGCAGAGGAGCGAAGCGATCAGGATGCTGGAGTGCCTGGGCAGGCTTAAACCGCGAGCACAGTGAGTGGAGAGAGAGGCGTTGCTGGCGGACAGGCCTGCGTCTGAGTCAGGGGTGCGCGAGGTGCATCTGGGCGCCGCTGAGTCCCGCCGCCGCCGGAGCAGTGCGTTCTCGCGAGCAAGCCGGGACAAGCAGGGCTGGTAGCGTGTGTGCACGGGCGGAGCTCTGAAGCCTGTTGAATCTTTTAAAGGTGTATTTATTTATTTGTAAGGCAGAGTGAGACAGAGAGAACAGAGAGGCAGAGAGAGGAAAGAGAGAAGAGGTTAGGGCTTCCATCTTCTGATCCATCTTCCCAAAGGAAAGCTTTCAACGGGACCAGTCTGTAGCTCAGACACCTGTGGCTTTTTCCCCGTCTCCCACATGGGAGGCAAGATCCCAAGCACCCCCGGGCAGTCTTCTGCTGCCTTCCAGGGCACAGTAGCAGGGAATAAACTTGGAAACAATGTCCAAGACTCAATCTTATTCTCCATTGTGGGATTGCCTGCCTCACAGTATCTTAACACTGTGCCCCAAGAAGAATTAATTTTTCATTTCGTTTTGTACTTCACCCTAATTTCCTACTGCTTGCCAGTCCTTCATGGCTTGGTCCTCTATGCGTCTACCCTGTTAAAATGTCTTTATCAAGTCACGCTGCTAACCCCACAGCATTCGGAACTAGCTCCCAGCCCCAGGAGACTTTTCTAGAGAGAGAGCCAGGGGCTGCACAAAACTGGTCCCAGGCGAGCGATATAGAAGGAAATGAATTTTCTGGGCATCGTCCTCTGGCAAAATCATGTGTCAAGCTTTTGAAGATGAATCTATCTCTCTGTCCAGCTCACCAATGGAAATGCTGCATTTTTGAAACCCAAATCAGCATTGAAAATGCTGTGCAACCCTCCTCCTGGTGACTCTTGTGGGGAACAAGGCCACTGGGCCACCTTCTGGGTTGCGGCCACGGCTGCTGCCACGTTCCAGAAATGGCACACACGTGGGTTTCACACCCTTCACTGGACTTGTACCTCATTTGGGGATCTTTCAACCTGGCAGATTCCATCCAGTGCAGCTGGCCTGGTTTGGGGCTGTGGACTAAATTTCTAATGAACACTCCTGGCTGCTGCTACTGCTGGCTTGGGGCAAGGGCCTCAGACCTCTGCCGACTGTCCAGGTCCACATTTCTTCCCCCAAGCTCCCCGGGCTGCATCCTCCAGGCCATTGTTAGCAACAAGGTAACGAAGGGCCTACTGGCTAAGAGGCTGGTTAAGACGCTGGCATCCATCTTTTGGCCTTGCAGCTAACATGCCATGTAGGATTCCATGGTGCGGTATCCAATTTGAATGCTGGTTTTATTTTCACTTCCAGCTCCCTGCTCGCATGAGACAGCAGGTAAAAGCTTGGGTAATTGGCCTGGTCCAGCTGTTGTGAACATCTGGGGAGTGAACCAGCCCAGGAGAACTGTTTTGTATCTCTGCACCTCAACTAAGTAAAGGCGAAAACAGCGACCACAAAGAGAGTGTGCTCGAAATTCTATGCATTGAACCAATGTAGTTGACGTTCATTTACCAACTACTTTTCAAACACCGAGGCTGCCGCGGGCCACGTAGAAAAAATAACGCCAACCACACACACGGAACAAGGCATGAGGCAAGGCAGTGCAGGTGCTACCCGCTGTCTCGTCCCTGTGCAAGCAGCGGTTGGCTTTCCCTCCACTCAGTTTCACCGAGATCAACGACCGTGGATACGGTGATGCGGTGGCAAAACTCATAAAGCCAGGCAATTAAAATGGGCCCATGTTAAAGGTTGCAAATCATACCCTCGATCCAGGTAACAGGCGCCACAAGCTTCCTCTCCGTCCACAGCTCAGTTACTTCTGAAATGCAATCAGGAAGCAATGGTGTTTGCAGGCAGGGAGCAGTGTGTTGCCAAGGCGTCCGCCCCACTGGCAGGTGACACGGGGTGATTCTAGAAGACAAAGTGTCTGTGGCTTCGACTGCTGGCGGGGTTCTGCATGGGGAAGCTGTAGCCTCTCGGCAGAATTGGGCCATAGATGAAAAAACCCGGCTAACAGCCGAAAGTTGCACCTGTGAAATCCCTGGGGCCCATTGATTCCCCCTCACTGGGCAGCGGCCTTTCCTGCCTGGGCTGTAGTAGAACCAGACACTGACCCACTCATCCAGCCAGTCCTGCAACTTTTCACATCCTGACCCGGATCCGCCTCTGCCCTTTCGGCCAGAAGAAAAATATGCCTTGGGGGGAGCCGGGGGCGAGACACAGAAAGGCAATGTTTTCGCCACCTCCTCCGCTCCACAAAGCTCCCAGGTCACTTTAGGCACTGTAGCCCTTTCAAGTATCTTTCTTCTTATCTGAACTTTGCACAGCATCTTACACACACACCCTGCTAGAGTTCTGTGCCCGTAGGTGGTCATGGGATCCGGAAAAAAGAGTCTTGAGTGACAGTAAGGTTTTGTTTTTTTTTTTTTTTAATTTTTTATTTATTAGGCAGAAAGAAAAAAAAAACAAGGGAAACAAGATGGGGAGATACAGGAGGCTGGGGGGAGAGGGGTTCCCATTTGTTGGTGCATTCCACAGATGCCTGTCATGGCTAGCACCGGATCAGCCAGAGCCAGGATCCAGGAACTCAACCCAGGTGGTCCGTGTGGATGACAGGAACCAATCCCTTGAACCATCCCCTGCCACCTGTCAGAGCCTGCATTGGCACTGGCAGGTTCAGGAGCCAGAACTTGGCACTCACACCAAGGCTCGTTGATATGCAGGCTGCAGGCACCTTAACCGCTGGGTTAAACGCCCACTCCTGGCCACGTTTTTACAAGGAAGCCAGGTTTGTAAAAAGGAAGGCGAGGGAATTTGCCTAACTGACCAGAGGAGTTCCAAACGCGTGTGCATAGAAGCAGCACTTGGCCGGAGGGCTGAGTCTTTACTCAGAAAACAACAACGCCTTCAAAACTGCGAGACTTTGCTCAGAAGCAGGTCCCACATGGGGACATGTCCATGTCCCAATGTCATACAGCCTTGTGTGAGTGGACAAGACTGGGTGTGTGAGTGGACCAGAAAAAGGAAAGGCCTGTGGCAGAAGCAGGATGTGACTGGGATGGTTTGTTTTAAGGATTTTATTTATTTGAAAGAGTGACCGAGTGAGATAGCATCCCGCCATTGGTTCACTCCCTCAATGGCCAGGATGGATAAGTCAGGTAGAAGCCAGGAGCTAAGAATTCCCTTCAGGTCTCCCATATGGGTGGCAGGGGTCCACGTTCTTGGGTCATCTTCCATTGCTTTCCTAGGCACATTAGCAGGAGCTGAATTGGAAGCAGAGCAGCCAGGCCTCGAACCAGTGCTTTGCCATGGAATAGTGGCGCTGCAAGCTGCGGTTCCACCTGCTGCGTCACAGCCATACGCTGGGGGATTTAAAGCAAGTTTCCGCTGGGACAAGGTGTCTTTGAGGTCTTGGGGCTAACAGCAAGGAAAGGTGACCCCCAGGCCACAGAGAGCCACCAGGCACACCTCGTGGGGGCGGCTGTGCTGTGACTCTCACGCCTGCTGCAGCTCTTCTCAAGGGGAGAGGCCAGATGGTCCTCGCGTGTCCTGAACCCCAAGAATGCTGCTTTACCTCAAAGGTGCAGGAAGATCTGCTACTCCGGCACGAGAGGATGAGGACAGCCCTGCCTCAGTTTCCCTGGCAGAGTCTCTGTGCCTGCCCTATTCCAGCAGGCATGCCTTTCCTGTGGGTTCTGAGAGGAGATCTGCTCGTCTTACCAGGGAGAACCTGAGGAAACCAAACTACTGCACATTGGGACCTTAGAACACGGGCGGACCTGAGGAGGTGGTCTGAGGGGGTTTGGGTGAGATGCTGGGAGGCCACAGTCTATGGGCATTTTTTTTTTTTTTAAGAAAAGCTATAACAAATAGCAGCCTTTTTATTTATTTATTTTTAAAGAGTTACTCATTTTTCCCTGTCTTTGCTTTTTTTTTTTTTTTGGATATCAAACTTTAAAGATTTATTTTTATTATTTTTTTAATTGGAAAGGCAGATATACAGAGAGGAGAGACAGAGAGGAAGATCTTCCGTCCGCTGATTCACTCCCCAAGTGAGCACAACGGCCGATGCTATGCCTATCCGAAGCCAGGATCCAGAAACTTCTTCCGGGTCTCCCACACGGGTGCAGGGTCCCAAAGCTTTGGGCCGTCCTCGACTGCTTTCCCAGGCCACAAGCAGGGAGCTGGAAGGGAAGCAGGGCTGCCGGGATTAGAACTGGCGCCCATATGGGATCCCGGGCGTGCAAGGCGAGGACCTTAACCACTGCGCCACCGCGCCGGGCCCTGGATATCAAACTTTAAAACCAGGTAGGGGAAAAGTGCTGTGGTACAGCGTGTTAAGCATCCGTCTGAAGCACTGGACTCCCACATGGGCACAGGTTCGAGACCCTGCTGTTCCACCTCTGGTCCTGCTCCCTGCTGGTGGGCTTGCAAGAGCAGTGGAAGACAGCCCGAGTGTTTGTGCCCCCGCCGCCCACACGAGATGAAGCTGTGGCCTCTTGGTTTTGTCCTTGCTCAGCCCCCTGTTGCAGCCATTGAGGAGTGAACCATTCGATAGAAGACCTCTCTCTCTCTGTCTTTTGCTCTCTCTCCTCTCACTCTACCTGTCAAATAAATGAAGAAGTCTTTAAAAACAAATAAATGAAAGTAGAAAGAAAATTCTTTTAAAAAAAAAATAGCTAGGTGGGCCCGGTGCAGTAGCCTAGTGGCTAAATCTTCACCTTGCAACTGTCAGCATCTGATATGGGTGCCAGTTCCTGTCCCAGCTGTTCCACTTCCCTTCCAGCTCCCTGCTGCGGTCCCGGAAAGCAGTAGAGGACGGCCCAAAGTCTCGGGACCCTGCACTCACAAGGGAGACCTGGAAAGAAGCTCCTGGCTCCTGGCTTCAGATCAGCTCAGCTCCAGCCATTGCTGCCACTTGGGGAGTAAACCAGCAGATGGAAGATCTTTCTCTGTATCTCCACTCTGTAGATCTGCCTTTGCAAAAATTAAAAAAAAAAAAAAAGTTAAAAGAAATAGGTGAAAATCTAGGTGACGGATTTTTTTTTTTTTTTTAATTTCTGAGTGAGTTGAATGAAGTTTTCCGATAACAGATTAATTCCACGACAGAGCCGTGGCCAAGGTTGTGTTTGGCTTAGACCGGTAGCTTTCCTTGATGCCGCGCTCACATGCTTTCCTCTTTACCTTTGCCACCCTGAAAACATGCTCAGTGTTTTCAGGAAGCGCTTGGTAACAATGTCTGCGTGTCTCCATAGCGTCATGTAGACTTAGCACCACCACAAGCAATACAGTTTAACCAGCTCTGCTCACTTGAATATTGATCATCTGACGAGTGGTAGAATCACGACTAATCATTTCATGCCAGCCATATTGCAACCATTATTTTGTTCTTCAAAAAATTGATTTATGAAGTTATGTATTTACGTTTTTATTTTTAAATAAAGATTGATTTATTTATTGGAAAGTCAGATATACAGAGAGGAAGATCTTCCGCCCCCAAGTGAGCGCAACGGCCGATGCGATGCCAATCCGAAGCCGGGAACCAGGAACTTCTTCCAGGTCTCCCACGCGGGTGCAGGGTCCCAAGGCTTTGGGCCTGTCCTCAAACTGCTTTCCCAGGCCACAAGCAGGGAGCTGGAAGGGAAGTGGAGCTGCCAGGATTAGAACCAGCGCTCATATGGGATCCTGGCGTGTTCAAGGCGAGGACTTTAGCTGCTAGGCCACAGCGCCGGGCCCAAAGTTATGTATTTACTTTAAAGAGATTCCATCTGCTGGTTCACTCCCCAGTCGGCGGCACTGGCAGAGCTGGGCCAGGATGAAGGCAGGAGCCAGGAACTAATGTGGGTTTTCCAAACGTTTCGGTCAACATCCGATTGCCTTCCCAGGCACAGTAGCAGGGAGCTGCATCAGAAGTGGAGCAGCTGGGACCAAAACTCACACTGCAGCGTACGCTGCCGCACTGGCTCCATTATTTTGTCCCTTTAAGGTTTATTCAGTTCTGAGTTCCCTTGGTGTCTTCACTTGTTTTCTGTAGCTCTGACAGACTAGCGGAGGCTGAGCACTTTATAAGAGAAGTTTTTTGTAGCTCATCATTTGGGAGACTGAAAGTTCAGGATTGGACTTGTTTATTCTCCAAATAGCTGCGATGGCCAAAGTTGGATGGAGCCAACTGTGGCGAGGAGCCAGGAGCTTTTTCCAGGTCTTCCACGCGTGTACAGGGGCTCCAGGCCTTGGGCCATCCTCTGCCGCAGGGATGAGTCTGAATCACAAAGGTTCGGTGTTATCTTGGGCAGCCTAAAATTTCCGAGCGTCAGGATTCAATGGAGATGCAACCCCAAGTTTCCAGGGTTATTGTGGGTGGGGGGTGGATAAATGGTTCATGCTTGTGAAACTCCTTGCACAGGACGTGGCACATTGCAGTCCACAGAGTAGCCATTCTGGCGAGGCCGTCATTCGTACCCACCGGGCAGCGTTCAAAAGCAGAGACTTCAGGCTCCACAGGATGGCTTCATTGGCTAATCTTCCCCTTTACAAGCAGCAGAATTCCGTACAGGCACCGGTCCACGTCCCAGCTGCTCCACTTCCCATCCAGCTCCCTGCTTGGAGCCAGGGAAAGCAATGGAGGATGACCCTAAGCTTTGGACCCCTGCACCGACTTGGGAGACCAGGAAGAAGCTCCTGGTTCCTGTCTTCGGATTGGCTGGGCCCCAACTGTTGCCACCATTTGGGGAGCGAACCAGTGGACTGAAGACCCTTTTCTCTGTCTCTCCTTCTTTCTGTAAATCCCATTTTTGAAAAAAAAAATGACTAAATCTAACAAGAAAACATCAGACTCCTGGAGGCTCGCCCCCAGCGTTAGTTCAGAGCTCTAAAAGTGTCCCCCCTCCCCCAGCCCCACAACTGCATTTGAACAGCTTCACAGGTGGTCCCTCCCACCAAATTTAAGTATCAAGTTGGTATCCCTTATCTAAGCCCCACCCACCTGCCGGAACTCCGGTCTCCTTCTCACCCACCCCGACGTTCTGACCTCAGATGCGGTGAAGCCGTGGAGAAAAACAAACGCCTCATCACGGCGGACCAGAGGGAGTATCAGCAAGAACTGAGGAAGAACTACAACCGGCTCAGGGAGAGCCTCCGGCCAATGATCGAGCGGAAAATTCCAGAGCTCTACAAGCCCCTTTTCCGAGTGGAGAGTCAGAAGAGGTAGGAGCCAGCGGGAGGAGTCTTCTTCATGCAGGGCTTGGAACTGGGCGAGTCCGGGCAGGCTGTGCCGCCTCTTGGGGAGCAGGATGATGGAGGGTGATTCATTGGGCTCCTAGTACCTACCTGGCCTTGCACCAATGGTGCCCCATGCTGGTTTTGTAGTGTGCCCGTTTTGGCACGGAGTCAAGGGCTCTAAACCCTGCGCTTGGTTAACTCCGTTCATCCATGCGCTGAGTTCCCCGCACGTGATCCACCTGCCTTTAGAAGTTTCTTAAATGTTCTCTCTCTCTCTCTCTCTCTCTCTTCTTAATTTCAGGGATTCTTTCCACAGATCTAGTTTCAGGAAATGTGAGACCCAGCTGTCACAGGGCAGCTAAGAAAAAGCTACCTTCACTCCGGAGACTGAGACACGGAAGGACAGAACAAACAGCGCCTACCAAAACAGCCACGTGCCTTCCGGGCCTGAACACACACTCCTCAAGCAGCCAGCTTTGGGCTCCAAGAGCCCATGGAATGACCCCCAAATAAACTCAGACTGGGGCTATTCTAGGCTGTGGGGTGGAGGATGGGTTACCAGGGGTTCCCATGTATTTATTCAAGGGGCTCATCCTATTGTACAGAACAAACATGATTATCCTGTGCTGTGTGTGGTCGAGTCACTGTCACTTTCAGTAGTGACTGCCTCTGGCCCGCAGCTGATTTTTGCAGAATGAACTCCAGTGACCCAAGGATCACTGGAAAAGTTGAAGGTTGGACTCAAGAGAACACGTTTCCATGAGCCCTTAACAGAGGTCTTGCTCAAAATGGGAAAGTCAGGATGACCGCAACTTTGGGAATAGATGGTTGATGGGTTTATTCTGCACTGGGTCACGGTGGGCTACTTGTGTCCTAGCGATCTTTGCTTTATTGTTACTGTCCCTTTCAAATGCGCCTGGAGAGGGGCTCACCCCTGCGCAGTGATTGCACAGAGCCACGGTACGCTGAACAGTGATGGAAGCCACATTCAACCGAGCCATTCTGCATGACAGCACCTGCTTCCTTAGGCTCACCCACCTTCCTCCTGCTCCTCTCTGGGCCCAAGGTTGTTTTTATACAAAGATAGCATTTCTGCTCTCATTTCAGATCGCTGAGCTATCCCTCAGGACGTGTCCGTCAGCTGTAAAACGCACTGAGTTTGGGAGTGTTCGGACGATGTGCAAGGGCAAAGATAAAGTTATTATTTGAGAGAATTAAATTATATATTTTTAACATGACCTTAATATTAAAACATACAATCAGAATTGCAAGTGAAGTGTTTCCTTTGACAACTCTGTGTGCCTGTGTGTGTGTGTGTGTTTGAAGTCCAAATTTCAAATAGAACTTTCTAGAAGATGGAAGGTTGGCTAATCCTGGCCTCTGTTCACAGTACCAGGGTGACACCCCTTAGGCCGTATTTAATGTTGGGATCAAAAGAGAATTTAGTTAGGATGCTCCCTTGCTGCTGCTGCTTCTTCTTCTTTTTTTTTTTTTATGCTGTGATTTAGGCACAAATTTATATCCTAGAAAAGGACTTTGAAAAATCAATGCTTGTTGCTGATTTTTTTTTTTTAGCATTTTTTAGGCACTTGGGTAGAATTCGTTCTTTTTTTTTTTAAATGGGTTTCTTATCCTAACACTCTTTTTTAGTTTTTTATTTATATTACTTGTATAGTATGAATTTATATTATTTTTATTTATGTTATAATATGGTCTTATAAGAATGACCCCTCCACCTCCTCTTCCTGCCCCCCAATTCTCCCCTCCCCCCTGTATGCCCCCATATTATTACAATAATATATAGTCCTTCAGCCACAGTCCCAAGTCCAACATTATGCTGTTGAATGTATTGTGGCACTTTAGATCTATACCTAAATGGGTATAAAATGGGGGAAAGCCTGGTATCCTATTGTCGGTGTGTATTTTACATTTTGGGGGGAGTCCCTCTTTACTCAGGGGGAGAGTTGCATCATTCCTAACGTATATTATACAGTTAACTGGTTTCTATAACTAGTCCATGGCATGCACCTGCTCCGACGGGCCCATCATTGTCAACACCCAGCACCCATTCTGTTCAGCCGTAACAGAAGAGCTGGCTATTCAATTATGCAAGGCCAGCTTTTCACTGTCATAGCCCTGGGATATCCCCTCTTAAATGTCCAGGGGACAGTCATCACGTCAGAATCTCAAGAAAGCGAGACATGAAAACATTGCTTCGAGCCGATTGGGCCTGCTGTGCCACCTGGTCTCCTGTAACCGGTGGTTCTGTGAAGCTAAGGGGTGCGCTCTGTGACAATACATGGCTTTCAAAAACAGGAATCTTTCGATTTTGCTTTGAATGTACTTTTCTTTATTTTTGATGATGTTTACATAGTTGATCAGGATCAAGGGTGAGGAAAAAGTGGGTGTGATCATTGTTCCCAAATTTTGTACTTTCTCCTCCTGTTTCTAAGGGAAGGGAGGAGACAAGAGGATGTGATGTGGGCTAAGGAGTTGATTAGCACTGGTTAAGCTCAGCACTACAGGGAATGGGTTTGGGGCTAAAAGCACCTGGTCTCATTGGACTCATCTGTACCCAATATTCTGCTAACGAGGGTGTGGGGGAAAGGGCAATAAAGAGAGACTTCGAAGAGACTTCCATCATCACTGGTCTCCTGTCCGTGCCTCATCCCCCAGATCCTCGCCGTGTCCACCTTACTGGCTCTGCTGTCCGGTGCAAATGGCGCCTAACATGGGGCACAGCATGAAGGACATCTGAGGGACCCCTGGACCTACGAAGGTAAGCTTAGAACTTAGGAATTCATCCCGTCAAGCGGTGGTGCATCCCTTCCTTCAAAAATGATCTGTAAGAAGGGGGAGGGAGCCGCAAACCAGAGTAAGTAGACAGAAGGAACTCCAAACCAGGGTAAATAAGGAGAAGGAACCCCAGACCGGACTAAGTCTGGAGAAATTACGCGAAGTAGATTCAGAGTCCTCTTCTGAGGGGGAGGAAGGGGAAGAGGATGGAAGTGAGTCTTCCGAGGATCCCCCCACCCATTGGAAGCTTGGCTGTTTTAATATAATCAGGAAGAAAAAGGGGGAGGGGACCGATTTTACAGAATTTGTCCTCTAGACTTGCAAATTGTACTTTGGAAGATCTTTTGTTGTGATAAATATTTGGCAAGCCAACTTCATCTGCATAGCCATGGCCCATGGCAACTTTTGGGAATTTAGAATTCAAAGAAATACAAGTAATCCAAGGCAAATCTCTTGTAATTCTTAAGGTTTTATTTGTGATGTTTTCAAAAATGTAAAGTTTTATCGCAAATAATTTGTTATAGAAGGAAACGTAATACACTATTAAATTATTTCAAGGTATAAGTTAAAGTGGTATTCATTGTATACAAAGCATTTTTATAGTTTAAAATAAGTCTTGTGTTTTTGCTGGTTATCAAATTTCGCGTTGCTTTAAATATGTGGAAATCCGAGTTCTATGAGCTTTGCCTTGACACAGCACGGCAAAATGCCCAGGCCTTCCTGAGAGAAATCCCAATATGTTGACAGGTGAGGGGAATTTTGCTGATGCACAGAATCAGCTTAATTATGACCCAGGTGTTGACACTCTATAAAAGAGACTTTGGCATAACGGTGACCATCGTAGCCAGTACGTCAGCAGCCGCCACCACCAGCTACCATGGTGACAATGAACAAACTTGCAGAACTGACTGCCTGAGCTGTGGAACAACTGAACTTTATCTATGAACATGTGCGGGTGGGCTTGTTTGCGTTGTAACTGCGGGTTGATCTGTTGGCAGAGGAACAGCAGATGCTGTGAAATTTGGTCTAGGCCTCTTGTGCCCCATCATATGCCTTTTTGTGTGTAACACCTACGCAAGTGCAAAATGTTTTCCAAGCCCGGGAACTGCTGTCTGCTCGTTGCTACCGAGCTAAAGATACTCCTATGGACAGGGCCTCTTGTCCCCCATTATGCCTCTATGTATGTTTCACCTGTGTAGTGCTGTTTTCCCAAGCCTAGGAACTGCTGTCTGCTTATTGCTGTCTGCTTATTGCTACCACGTTAAAGATACTCCTAGCCATGGAACAGGGTTACCAGCCTCCCCAAGTATGGTTTGTGCAGCTGCAGCAGGCAATGCGTTGAATGGCAGCCAGTGATGGGTAAGATGGACCGGGCACTGACCAACCTAAGACAGGGGCTCCGTCATGCTACGGAGATTCCCAATGACGGGTAAGGCTGATAACCTGAGTCCACAACCTAAGACAGGCGCATTCAAGTCTGCTTTAAAACAAAAAATAGGGGACCTGTTGTGGGCTAAGGAGTTGATTAGCACTCTAAGCTGAGCGCTAAAGGGAATGGGCTTGGGGCTAAAAGCACGTGGTTAATTGTGTCGACATTACTGGCTCTGCTGGCCGGAGCAAGGATGAGCTATGGCCAGCCTCCCAACCGCCCCAGTACCCAGGGGTGGGGAAAGGCCATCCAATGTTGACCCAGGGTCCCAATGTGGTACATCTTTTCTGTGGGTTCTGCCCTGATGTAGTTGCAATAGTTCTGACGTGCTGTCAATGTCACCAATCCAAGGATGAGGAAACCCTTCCAGTGTCCGTTGGCGGACACAGTCGACCTTACAGTCTCCATTCGACCAGAATTTTTCTGTCATCATTTGGCTGGTTAGTTATCCAACTTGTTCTGTTCTCCTTCCTCTGCTATGGTACCAGATGTCCTCTGCAGGCCCCAATGGGCTCCCATATCCTCCATGTGCATCAGGGCCTGCCATCCACTGCTCCATCTTTTCCACTGAGGAGGACCAGTTCTCACAGATAGACCCAAGGGCCTGGACCAGGTGACTTGGGTCCCACCAGACCCCTACTCTTGGGGCTCTCAGACCCGGCACCTGTCACACAAGCAGGCCCAAGGACCCAGGGCGGGCAATCCAAGCCCCATTGGACTGCCCGCCCCCAGGACTCAGGAACACACTGAACCAAGGTTGACATGGTTTGCCTCACTTTGGGTATTGCAGCCTGGCTCAGTCCAGCCTGCTCCCATTTCCAGCTCATGTTAGTGGGTCATGGATCCTAGCCCAGCCCAGCCAGCACCCAGTCCCAGCCCTAATGTAGACTAGCTGGAGTTGCGGTCCAGCCTGGTCTGTTCTATATCCTGTACTGGCTCTCAGATCTGCCAGAGCATTTTATGCAGTTGTCCAGCCTGGCCCAGCCCCAGACCTGACTCACACACACATGCTGGCAGGTACAGTAACCTGGCCTGATCTGGCTTTCCCTTGCCTTGGTTCTTGTGCTCACCTGCAGGGACTGTGTCCTGACAAAGGAGTTCCCCAATCTTCTGTATCAGGTCTCCTCCCAGTGGCAGATCTCACGCACTCTGGTGAGTCCTTGGCCCAGTTTAACTTAGTTCACCTCCTGTCCTGGTAGGTACAGTGCCATTGCCCCAGCTGGCCCACACCCTTCCAGTTGTTATTCTTGGGAGTTACAGCCCAGCCATACCTGGTCCACTCCCAGCCACAGTTCTCGCATGGTTCAGTGGAAGCCAAGACCTAGCCCAGCCCATTCTACACCCACCCTTCCTCTCACGAGTACCAGTGGGTGCTAGGATCTGGCCCAGTCTGGTGCTCCCCAGACCCAGTCCACACCCATGCTGAGAGAGATTGCGGCCATGTCCAGTCCAGACAACTGTCCTTATTCTGGACTCTGTGCTCACCAGTGGACATTCCAACCAGCTGGGGCATCTATGCTCCCCAACCAGGCCGGTTAACAGCCACAGATCTTGTACATGCCAGCCAAGATTGCAGTTCCATAGTGGTGAGCCCACAAACCACCCCCCACCACAGATTCTGCCTCGAGATCTGATTCTCTCGCAAGCTAGTTAGTGTCATGAGCCAGCCTACCATCACCCATCCCCTATTCAAAATCTCACTGATTGGCATTGTGTCCTAACCAAGGAAGTCCGCTAGCCTTAGCTTTAGTGTGTACTGGTGAGTGGTATTTGGTGGTGGTTGGTGTTAATTACCCCAATTCAGGTCTTCCACATATTCTGGTACTTCAGTCTGATTCTTAAAGGTTTCTCCCCCTTTCCCTCTTCAAGCCACTTGATCTCAGCCTCCTCACTTACCTGCAAATACGTTGACCTTGTCTATGGAAGTCCCTCAGTAATCATTCCTCATTTGGACATGAATCCTTAGGTCCCAGGTTGCCGCAGTCTGTGCCATTCCCCCTCATCACACTCAACCTCATCACAGACACTCCTGTGCCTTGA